ACGTCAATTACCAACAGGATGATTGGTGCGAATGGCTGCCGATGGCTGAGTTCGCGTACAATAACGGAAAACAAGAAACTATCAAAACAACCCCCTTCTTTGCAAACTATGGCCTACATCCGGAACATGAAGCCATAGGTCATATGCTCCAGGGAAAGATAACGGACAAAAGAGATATGAGTCAACTACATGACATATTACGAACAGAAATGGTCACGGCGCAACTACGTCAGAAGGAAGAATACGATCGTCACCGAAAACCCGATCCAAACCTGAAATCAGGAGACAGGGTTTAGTTACTGCCACGGAACATCAAAACCACGAGACCAACGAAAAAACTGGATTACAAGAAAATAGGACCATTCAAGATCTTGGCGAAGATAGGAAGCCGCGCTTATAAACTCGACCTTCCACCCACGATGAAGATACACAACACCTTCCACATCAGCCTCCTCGAACCCTATCAAGACAATCCTCTACCATCTCAAGAAAAACCCCCACCACCGCCTATTGAAATAGACGGTGAATCAGAATACGAACTCGAAGAAATCATCGACGCTCAGCTACACTACGGTCGCTTACAATACCGAGCGAAGTGGACCGGGTACTCTCCTGAACACAACAAAACCTGGTACCCAGCCGAAAACTTTGAACACGCACAAAATGCAGTCCAACAATTCCACGAACGATATCCGCACAAACCAACAGCCAACAGTCGAGGACATACCCGAATCAAAGAATGTCACACCTACGCTGTACCGCACAGACTCATACCATTGGGAACATCCCCAGATGAATTACCGACAAATGCTGATACCGTCGGCTCTACAGAACACTCCAGAACGCGACGCGTTCAAACACATTACACCAACGAGCCCGGGGTATCGAACCCCAACACCGACCAAGGAAGAACCCACAGACGAAGACTGGGTAAATCTAGTGGATTTACCCCTATCGAGAACCCCCACACCGGAAAGGGAACACGCGAACCTGTCATGGACAGGATGCTACAACGACGAGTGCCAAGTGCACAAAAGCGAGAAGGAAGGCTCGGGATATTGGCCTCGGGAAGCGAACCGATGGCCACCCAAGACTTCACCCCTGGGATCACCCGCGAGATCCCCGACACCAGAGCCGGTAGCTCTGGTACAATACATCAAACCGACTCCGAGGACGGAGTCGAAGAGGAGGGGGGCGAAAAAACAGAAATGGGCAAAACCCAGGAGGACAAAGCATGTCTCCTGGGAGGAAGAGATGGAAGAAGCTACGCCGAGGTTGCCTCAGGCAGAGGACCAACAGGCGGTGATAGCGGAATTGGAAAAAGACCTCAGGCTAACACAAGTATTGCTAGAGGCAATGAAGAGAGGAACCAAGTTGAGGGTACGTCAACTCGAGAACGAGCTGGCGAAGGAGAGGGGAACAAGGGAAGCCCTGGAGAGGGAGTTGGAGAGCCAGGCAGAAGAGGCTCGGAGACACTCGGACAGGACTGCAAGAGCGGTTCGAAGGATCAATCACAGCTACTACCACGGGGAGAAGAGCTGGAGGGACCACCAAGGAGGATGGAGATGCGAATAAAGCCCGATGGGACTCGGGCTGAGGGAGAGGGAAGCTAATGTCACAAACTGTGACTAAGCAAGGCAGATTTCACATAGCTCGGAATTCCGAGCTATAGGTATGTGGGAATTTCACATGACGCACATTAGTGCGCCATAGGTTATTATGTTTACCTGTTCGTGACTCACGTTCGCGAGTCACACGATGTTATGATTTTCGCACATGACTCAGATTATGAGTCATGGGTTTCACTCAGGTGACGCGAGTTGCGCACCTGACTTGGTTATTATGTTTTGATTGGATTAGGTATGTTGCGCAAGCGACTCATAGGAGTCAGCTGAGGGATTTCGCATGACTCATAGTTATGAGTCACAAGGTTCGCGTGACACATAAGTATGAGTCACGCTAGGTGAAGAGCTACTATATAAAGGGTCACTAGGACCCCTAGTATTAGCTCTTCACACGTTCTTCTCGTTTATTTCCTACATATAAGTTATCAATAAAACCTATCTTTACGCTCTTTAAGATTTATCTTACGAAACCCAAGAATTGTCTTTCCTCCCACGAGAGAAAACTATTTCTCCTCCCACGCCGAGTAATTAAGTCCTAGGCGAGGACTTAAGAAGATTAGAGGAATAGGCACGATAAGATAGAAGTCATACGGACTTAGCTATCAATATCGCGTAGGCAAAGGCCTGAGAACTATCTCCTCGCTACTAGTTAAGAACCGTTACCTGTCGCACCCCACCCAGGTAGGATTCTTAACACATATCAGCATTTTGTACGACAGGTCTTGTTCCCTTCAATCCTGAAGTTGTGATTTCCAAGTTACAGGAGGCGGCCATTCCTGCAGTCCTACCGGTTACCGAACCGTCTGAATCCTCTACAACTATTCCTCTGATAATTACTTCTTTCAAGAGAGTAGGAGATGAATTACAATAAGAGGCTGGTGATTTATCACCAACCTTTTGGAACAAATTGAAGAGAGTACTGCAAGGTGGATTAGCTCAAGCCCAATCTGGAGCTTTAGCAATAGACCATTTGGAACATACACGAGCAGCTGAGCAGGCTAGAAATACCAGATGCAGGGCACAGAGTCGGAGTCAAATCCAAAAAGGAGGAGTCATGTATGCTTCACAAGTACGACAAATGGTTAAAAGGAGAGAAGATGCAGAGGTTGAAAAGGCAGAAATGCAATTATACAAGGCACAGAATGCTAAAAGATGAGCTCAGCAAGCTGAGCATAGGGTATTTCAAAATGAGTTAAAGGCACAGGTAAAGCAAAGAAATTTGATGCATACTTGTAAAAAAAAAATATCAAAGATGATAGTTATGGGTATTAAACGCCAGGTGAAACTGGGGAAAATCAATGTAATATAAAATATTAACTTACCTTCAAGATAGGTATAGCTTTACTCTGATGTTACGCCAGGAATAAAAAGTGACTTTAAGCTACAAAATTGTATGGAGCTGCAAACTTATATTGAGCCACAATGTGTTGTTGAGCCACAAAATTGTATTGAGCCACAATCTATCGTTGAGCTGCAATCTTTCATTGAGCTGTCGGGCACTCAGGATGAGTGCCCCCGAAAGCTGAGCCAGCGAAGTTTCGGGGGTTGCAGCGCCCTAGCGCTGCAACCTTGGCACGAGTACCTGTTTCTAGAGCCAATTTATTGAGAAAAAGGTACGATATTCAGAACGTACCGGTAACCTGCACCTGATTGCAAAGCCACTCCTAACACAATGTTAATCCATATCATTATGACTCGCAAATCAAAGTTTAACGATATCAATTTCCCCCCTAATTCAGGTCCCTCCCTACTTGTATCATACTGTCCCCCAGAATAATTTTGTCTCATCAAGTGAAATGGTAACCATACCCAGAAAGAACTGGCGGGCCGTGGGGGGGGGGGGTCATCAAGCCAAACAGAAGTCACTCCAGCTCGTGGGAAAGGGTAGCACAGAACCAAAGGCACGACTTTAGAAACCCGTTACCCCGGGAGGACTACAATGGATTCCAAATGGCGATCACCTGCTGTATCGACACATGGCATTGGTGTCCATCCACTGTGGTGCAGGTACCGTCCGCCAGCGTCTGATCAGGATTGACCCGAGCAAATAGCCGGTGGGCGCCGCAGGCTGTAAGAGTCACCAACCGAGGTGGTTAATGGAAAGGGTTTCACTGGTCCATGATTCTTCTTCAATTGACTTGGTTGCTCTTGATATGCGTGCGACTCACGTGCTCCGCATCCTCAATCAGGACGAAGAAAATAGTCAAGGTACTGTACCCGTGCACGTGAGAGAGAAATGTCCCCTCTAATACCAGTATCCAACTTGTAGCAATCCGCGGGGACTTTGGCCGCGAGGCTTTACAAGGACTAAGAAGGGCGGTTTTGAGGGATACGGCAGCGCTTGCTTGCTTCACCTTCTCTCAGGCAATTCCTCTATCATGATTCCTATCATTGGGCCTTCCACTGACGCCTGGTGGGACTCAAATTGGCGCCGCAAACCCTCAACCGTTACGTCCCGAACAGGCCCTCTCCAGTGGTAATTTCGGCGGCAGAACGAAGGACAGCGGTGATTTGCGAGTGGGGGTTGGTGAAGCGTACTAGTTCAGTACAGTATTGTACAGTACTACTAGTAGTCTACTCTACTTGGTGTCGGTGGTCAGATTAGGCTAGATGGATGTTCACACTTGGCTCCAAGTGCCGGTACCATACTCGAGTACTCGTACCGTAGCTCCAGATGAAAGACTTCCCCCCGAGAACGAGAAGGGAGGCTTGCAGGTGAATTTAGCTTCCCCGCACTGTCCTACAACAACCCTTCCAAAGCTCTCTCTGCGAAAATTCATACCGCACATCACCTGAATTGGAATTGCGATTCAATCCGTTCGTGAGTTAGGCCAGCTGCTCGAGACTTAACTTACCTCACACCTACAGTATGATGGAGGATTCGACCCTCGAGTCAGGGGAAGAAAAAAAGAAAGAAAGAAAAAGCAAAAGTGGGGGTGTACTTGGCGAATTTATAAAGTGTTGGGACACCTTAGCATTTATTGGTGTCTGTCCTGCCAAAACGTCCGAATACTTTACGAATCGCCAAGTATTGGAGGAGAATGGGGCAGCGAGCAGGGGGGGTAGGAGGCCATTGCTCCCAATGCTCCCATCCTTAGACTATGTGCATCCGAGGGAAGGTTCAAACTCATCTCAACTAGCAACAATACCCAAACACAGAAACTAAAAAAATTGATTCCACACCTCTCGTCCAACTAACCCCCCACACTATTGCCGCTCCATAGGTGGGCCTCTACATCACACCCGGCCCAGCTCACAATCTATTCCCGCCGGCTTCTGGTCGGGCCAGTCCTGACTTGCCTGATTGCCTATCGTACCGCACCGTGCTATACGCTGGTGGTCCACCCTCCTCCCTCTTCCCCCTGGTTCACCTGAATGGATTCTAGCTACCTACATCCCTCGGGGTCCACTTCGGCCGGTGCTTCAACGTCAACGACAACGCCCACGCCCACTGCTGGCACCTCCACCGCCACCACCATTGTTGCTAACAACCCAGCTGGTGGAGCCACCGGGGCGGGCGTTAAACGCGCGCACCCTTCCTCCAATGCCATCTCGAATAAATCTAGGTCCGCGGCGAATTACCCGAGGAAGAGAGCTGTGAGCGCGTGTCTGGTCTGTCGGGGGAGGAAGACGAAATGCGACAACCAGCGGCCGCAATGCGGATTTTGTAAGCAGACGGGGGCGGAATGTGTCTACGAGGCGGAAAAGTTGGCTACGTGTGTTTTGTTCTTACTTTTTTTTTTCTTTTCTCTCTGTCTCTTGTTTACTTCTGAAAGATTTAACTCACCTCTTTGGTTTGGGCGAGGAAAGCGGGCTGATGATGGGTGATGATGGGACGGTAGGTTTGACGCCGCCTCATTGGCCATTCTGGACAAGCTCTCCAGGATAGAAGCAATGTTGGACTCGGACCGGGGCTCGAGTAATCAGCAGCACACGCCCACCAGTCACCCCTCCCCGCACACCTCGGTTTCTACAACTAGCGGTGGCGCCGTGCCGATACCAGCCATACCAACGCTCGCCGCGCACGGCAGCTCCCCGAGGAACTTGGGGAACAAGCCGCCGCCGGACGCCTCTGAGATATTCCCCGTCTCCATTGCTACAGCCTCGGGTGCCCGCGTCGAGGCCGTTCTCCAATGGCCAATATTCAAGGGACAATTTTGCGTGGAGGAGATCCTCGCGCCGGTATTTGCGGATTGCCAGGAGGACGATGACGATGAGGACGAGCGCGAGGGCTGGCAGGAGAGGAAGGGTGTGGGAAAGAGCGAACCCGAGGATGGGTACCAGGCACATGGTGGAAACCGCAGGGGAACTGGGTTGTACGATTCCGATGAAAAATTGTTGGGACAGCCACCGGGAGAGATCGCGACGCTTGTGCAGAGATTTTTCAGGAATGTGCACACCAAGAACCCGATTCTGGATTCGGCCGTGCTGGATAGTTATGTTTATGAGATCGAGAAGCATAGGTTTGGGTGGTCGGGGCAGAGTTGTTTAGTCGTGAGTATCTTCACTCTCAACATTACGATGGGGCGAGAGAAAATGACACCGACTCATGGGGGAGAGGGCAGTTGCTCGTGTGTGCTTTAGGCTCAATCTCGGCGCCGTACAATCCTCACCCGTCGTCGCTGTCGGTGACGGAACCCCTGACGCAGTACCCTTCGTTCGAAATCAGCGCGCGGTATTTTTCAGCGGCAAAAAAGAGGTTAGGGATCGTCATGTCATCTAATAAGCTCATCGCCGTGCAGTGCCTCTTCCTGGCGGGTATATACCACATGTACACCATGAACCAGTTTGCCGCGTGGAAGATGTTCAATGCAGCGTCGGTGTCGTGCGAGGGGTACCTGCATCGGAAGGAGAAGTCCAAAACGTCGGATACCGCTGCTGGCGGGATGTTTTCTTCCTGCTCGAACGAGCCTACTCGACACCTTGAGCAGCGGATATACTGGAGCTGTCTGAAGTCCGAGCTGTACGCATTCTACCGCTTGGCACAACCCTGAACGTGCTAACTAGACCGCACAGAGAACTCTGCGCCCAACTAGACACCTCCCACTCGGGCCTCAACGAACTCGACTACCCCCACGCCTTCCCATCCCCGCCCCGCGAAATTTCCACCTCAGTAGCCTTCCAATCCTCAACCTCCTTCTTCGAGCAACCCCGCAGCGCACAAACCCTTTCCCATACCGGCGTAACTACCGCCCCTCCCCTCCCGGAGGACCGTCGGGAAGACGAGCTAACCTGGTTCTACTACCTCGCCGAAATCGCCCTCCGTAAGGTGGAGCTCCGCATGTCGGAAATCTTCTCCCTCTCGCCGCCCGCGCATTCCTCGTGCTCGAGCACCTCCGCCACACCCGCCGGCCTCGAAGACCCCCGCCGCCCCATCAAAACCGAAGACCTCCTCTCGAGCGCAAACGAGTACGAACTCCAGCTCAACCTCTGGTACTCCTGCCTTCCCCTCGTGCTAAAGTTCCCGCTGGACTCGCGCGATCCTTGTCATGACGAGCGGCTGCAGTATCTCCGTCAGCGCTACTGGTGGATTGTTTCCATGCTTTACAGACCCTTCCTCTACCACCTCATACACCACCCCGCCCCGCCGCAAGCGCTGGCAAAGAGAATGATGGAGTATGCGAGAAAGGGATTGGAAATCGATGCCAACTTTATCCTGAGCAATGTGATTACCCATCGGCACCATGGCGCTTGGCTGACAATTCGCGCGGTCACGGGGAATAGCCTGGTTCTGGGGGCGGCGAAGATGGCTGGTATGAGGATGCCGGAACTGTGGAGGGACGCGATCACAGCTGCAAGGAATTGTCTAGTGTATTGGGAGAGTGAGGTTAGGGATGCGGGGGCACTGAGAAAGGTTGTGGAGGCGGTGGAAAGGGAGATTTGAGTTTTTGTTTTTGTTTTTATTTGTTTTCGCAGTGGCGGGTAATATCTATTGAGAAGGGTTTCCCTTTCCCCACGCTTACCGGTAGCATTAATCTAGGGGGGGGGGCCATCGAATCATCACTGTTTTTTTTCTTTTCTTTTTTTTTCGAAATGTGGTGTGGTTTCTTGGCGCGTTATGTCTGTGGCGGACGGATGGGCTGATGAGCAGTGAGTTGCTATCATAGGCAGCCTTTCGCATAGCCACAGCCACAGCACAGCAATGGTAGTTGATTAGAACACATTATAACTTCGGAATGGCGACTACAAGCATCTCCAGAAACCACCCCTCGTGCTACGGTTCACACAATTTGTTGTAGCTTCGAGAGACGGGTTGAGTGAATGTCTTGATGAATGAATTGCGGTAGATAATCACAAGCTATGCGGGGTCCACCCCATCTACAGTACACTGCGATACTGCACTCTGTCGGTAGGTTCCTAGTTTATGCTATCATCGAGCCCCGGAAGACCTCTTTGTTTCTGCCGGTTGAGTGACAAAACGCGCGACACGGGTCGGGGTTAGGCACACAGTGCTCAGTCAATCCGATCTAATTCAATTCCTTTGTTTGCACGGAGCATTTTATATAGCAAGGGGAACTGCTCAATGAATGCCCGAGTACGACACGATATGATACGAAGGTTCGGGTCAGCATGTCGTTCGGCTTGGAGCCTCGAGGCCGGGACCCCCATGGCCGTGCGGCTTGGCAACCGTTTGGACGGTTCACACGCAATCCCAATGCCGTACCACAATTCGGACGCTTCACCCGGGCACCCCACCACGCTGCCAATGCACCAGCCCCACCACCAGTGCCAGCACAAGGACAACAGCAACAGCGGCAACGACGGCCCTACCGCCCTGCTGAAATGCGGCTCCCCATAAAACTCAATCGTGGTTCCATCTCGCTAACCTTGCCACCACCACGAGTCCCACCACCACCACCACCACCACCGCCGCCACCCCGTCAATTCCGCTCCTTTCACATAGTAAATGCCCCCCGCCGCAGTCCCCCGGACCACCTTCCGAGCCCGTTCTCTCCCCTTTCCCCGAGGCGGGGGCGTCAAGGCGCACGTGAGGTTGCCAGTCTATCTTCCGTAGAAGCCGGTAAGCGTGCTGCGGCCTACGCTGCCGTCGACGCTCACTTTGGCAATACGCCGGGGTACGTTGGCATTGGATCTGGTAGTACGGTATCCTACGTCGTTGATCGGATCCGGCAATTATCGGACGAGAGGATCGGCGGCACAGGATTCGTGCCGACGGGGCATCAGTCCCGGGAACTTCTGTGTAATGCCGGGCTTCGCGTGGTGCGGTTGGAGGATGTGCCGGGGAGAATTAGTGTTGCGTTCGATGGCGCGGACGAAGTGGACAGGTGGTTGAACTGCGTGAAGGGTGGGGGTGGGTGTATGCTCTTGGAGAAACTTGTAGCGATTCGGTCGGAGCTTTTCATTGTTGTTGCTGGTTCGTCCATAACTTTACCCCCCCTGTTTGGCTACCGGCAGCCTTTTTCGAAGACTAACGGACAGACGATAAAAGCCCAAACAAAGCTATCACGCGTCCTCCTGACCTCCCGCAGCCGTGGCATCCCGCTGGAAGTGATCCCCAGCGCAACGCCATACGTCCTCTCGGAGCTGCGCTCGTTGGGTTCCACGGATCCGCGGGTTCGGGACGGGGCATCTGCGAAGCTGGGGCCGTGCATAACGGATAACGGAAACTTTATTATTGACGCCCCGTTTCCACCGCTCGCCACAAGTGGAGCTGTTGTCGAGCTGGCTGAGAGCTTGAAGGGGATTGTTGGCGTTGTGGAACACGGGATTTTTTGGCGGGGGGATAGGAGGCCGGAGAAAGCCTTCTTCGGAGGGGCGGGCGGAGGTTGGGAGGGGGTGGAGGTTGGGCCGGAGTAATGGGGGGCGGTTTACGCTCGAAGAGACAAAGGGGGATGATACTTGTAATTGAAAAAATGCGTGTCTTGGTGTGTATCTCGGTTCGGGCGTTGTTTGTGCCTTGTTGGCGGTATTATATACGGTGGTCCTTAAGTTACCGTGTGGTGAGGGAGAGGCCCCCCCGTAAGGATACCGGTAGTTATTCAACTCAGCGTAGCATCGATGCAGATGCAAGCGCAGGTTATGGCTTAAGATTAGAGCAGCTAGCCATAGCTACTTGTAATGCATACCAATTGCGAGAGCGGAAACTCCAGATGGTCCCTTGTTCCAGCAGGCGTTCGGCGATAAAGCTGGTGATTAGAGCTATTCCATGCTGTCACGAGCAGCGGGTAGCCAGGGTTCAGCAAATGAAGATCAATTCAGCGAAGGTGAAAGGTCTTGCGCTGCTATGAACATGGGAAACTTCAGCGTTATGATGGCAGATGCACGGTAACTTTCATGGTCACTGTCGGTCAAGGGCCTCTGCAATGTGCGTTCCGGCTGAGGTCACTTGTCGATCCATGATGCATATCGTAAAAGCTTGGCATCACCAGTTCCTCGGCAGTCGGCTTGAAGTACGAGTATGGGGGTTTGAAAAAGGCCCGCCATTCTCAGTAATTTACCAGTATTACCCATATTCTGTTCACCTACACTGGAAACGCGCCCGTACTCGTACCATATCCTCTTTCACGTGCCGAGCATTTCCCTCAATCAGAACCATCTAGTCTACCCACTCCTTCTCTCTTCCCTCTTCCCCCTTCCCTCTCTCTCCCCACCATTTTTACTTCCCCCTCTCGCCCAACTCACTGTTCCTACAATCCGGACACGCCACAGGTTCGCAGTAGGTGGGTACAAGTACCTTGCCGGTGTTCCATTATCTGTGTGGTGCTCCTGATTTGTTGATTTGTGCCCAGATTAACCGGTTCCCTATAGAAATCAACACCGCAAACATCACAAATCACCACTGTCAATATGGTTGCTGACAATCTCGTATACCACCCCACTGTCGCGCACTACCTTCGCTTCGTAGCAACCACCGGTGGGTTTTGACCCGATATCCGCATGTTTTGCTCCTCCCTTGGCGCCGTGATGCTAATACCTTCCTTGCACAGTCGGTCGTGACAAAGCCCTGCGAACACTGCAGTTTATTGCTCGCTTCCTCTCTTTCTACTTGCTCCGGAAGGGGTACAGTGCCTCGTCCATCGCTCCTTTCGAAGCCATCAAGAAACAATTTTCGCAAGCTAGAAAGGTCATGCGTCTTGGAAAGAATGTTGAGCACCTCAAGGCCGCATCACTGGTACTCAACCCTAACCCATCCTACCTCGGCCCACAATTATTAGTTTGACCTTTGCGATTACAGGCAATGGATGACAAGTCAATGGATCCCGTGATCCGCTACTGTACTGTTGGACGTCAGCTCGGCTACTTCACTTACCTCACCCTCGATTCGCTCTGTTTCCTTGACTCGGCGGGTATATATAAATTCAAATCGGGCAAGAAAATGGCCTCTGAGGCCACACGGGCATGGTTTTTGGGAATCCTGTTCTCTATTGTTGGCGGAACATACACCATGTACAAGGCCAATGAGAAGGAGAAGCGTCTGACCAAGACTGTTGCCGAAGGAAAGGTTGAGAGCGAGAAGCTCATCAAGGAGAGACAGGCCACTGTCACTCAATTAATCGCTGACGTCTGTGATATAACCATTCCCGCGACCAGTTTGGGATATGTCAACTTTGACGAAGGGGCTTTGGGGTTGGCCGGAACCGTCAGTAGTTTGATCGGATTAAAGGCTGCGTGGAGGAAGACAGCTTAAAGCGAGGAAGGTCAGTAAGTCGTAGTAGGATACCAGGTGTTCGGAATGAATTTTTTCTTTGATTATCTCTTTCTTTACAGTTCACACGGCTATGGGGCAGTGGGGTCACCGGTGGACTTTGTACAAATAGAATGGGCAGTGTTTTGATAGTTAACAGTTAGCTCTGAATTCTGACTCCCAGCTCTCGAAATTCTGATAGTCATATACCTTGTTCGAAGACAAACTTTTCCCCTTCACTGGTGATAGCTTGAGTCTTGGGTGTTTCGATAACAGGGTGCTCAGGGGAATTTATAAACAACAGGTGCGTAAAATCCCACGGTGCTTCGTTTTCGTGCCACGGCTCATACTGGGAGAACGAGGTGGACTTAGGCTATGGCGTTCGGTATTGGATATTTAGACCGGTGGGTTCGCCTTGGAGAGAATTTACGCATGAATTCTCTAGCCCTCTCTACTATCCCCCGACGAATCCTGTCCTGAGTTTCCATAACCCAATGCCCACACGACCCCGTCTCCCAACCCTAAATGCCCGTCTTTCCGCTCAATCCTATTTATCATACCTCGCTACTTCCTCATCCCGTCATCATCCCTTTCCATATCTGCTCACACTCTCCTTCCTTCCACTACAAAAATCTCTACGCCTACATACACTCCCTACAGTTTGTTATAAGACAAACACCGTCTCCACCCTCTTATCTCTATCGTATTTCTTTTATTTGTTCTATCGTACCCGCCTTCTTTATGGATCAGCCGGCTTCACATAGGAGGGTCTTTGGATCTAGAACTCCTCCCTCGCCCCCACCGACCCATCAGGCCCATTTCCCTTATCTGAGGCCTTACTCTTCGGTTCATCTCTCTACCCCCTCCCATATCCCCCGCTCCCATTCCGGGGAATTTGTTCAGTTGTCGAGGCTAGCAGGCACGCCTCCTGGTGGATATGAGCCGGTCGTTCGAGCTCTCGGACCACCGCTTTGTGATAGTCCTACCACTGAATCTCCAGCGCTTGCCTCGGCCCCGATTGCTTCTAGATATGGTGTAGGCCCTTTGCGCGCCGTGTCAACTGTTTCCCTTGAAAGTTCTGGCGCCCCGAATGCATTGCCAATTGGACCCGATCAGCAACAGCTTGAATCACCTGTTTCTGAACAAGTGACCCAGCAAACCCTTCATTTAGACCCTGTTGAATTTTGCCTCGGGCATCCTACTGCAAATTACGGCGGTACTGGGTCTCCTGAGAGGGGGACTTCAGAGTATATCAATGTCAATTTGCCCGACCTAGAACACAAATTTGCGAAAAATCTCCCTGGCCATTGTCCTGAGTCGGATATGGATGAGACTTGCTCTGATTACTCCCAATGCAGCGGGGAGTTTGATTTTACAGCTGCATTTAGCTTGGGCCCTATGATGGGAGGCGCGCATGTCAAAGGCGGCACCGGCCTAGAAATACCCATACCCCCAGTTTCGAACCCGCTCCAAGAGGTTGAACTTCAAAATTCCACCCCCCCAACACCTCCCGTGCCCTTGGGCCGAGCTGGCTTTTCCTCGCGGCCACTGGCCACAGATCCCACAGCTCGGCATTGCCGTGGATGCATTCCATGTGCCCCTCACTCAGCCCCTAGCAAGCCCGTTACGGGTTCCACCGGTAGGGAGGGCCACGGAAATCTGTCCCCTGCACCCAACGACCAGTCTGCTGGCCTTCCACCCACAGATCCGTTGCCGGCTTTGATCAATCGAGAGCGGGCAGCACTTCAGGATATCCCTTCATCCCCAACAGTAGTGGCGAGCCTGAGCATTACTGTGGGTTCAGTTGAAGGGGACGTGCAAACACCATATCATATACCTAGTTCAGCGGAGCCGCTACGTCCGGACCTAGAGGATAGGATACCTTGCCGCCTACTTCGCAGGCGCCCGTCGGGCTACTTTATTCCAGCTGTTGGAGCAGATAATGAAATAGTTTTAAGGACTGATCTGTGTTGTGATGGTACCAATGATCTGCCTTACAGCAAAGCTGATCCGCACAGCAAATCCGTTCGAGAGCCGCAGTCCAGATCTTCAGGTGACAAGAGCCCGGTTCACTCTGACAGAACAACCTCGAATGTTGGCCAGGTACAGCTGTTTCCAAAACAGCATCTTACTTTTGTTGACCCGCCAAGTCTTCGCGACCAAATCCATACCAATGCATGCGGCCTTGATAGACGTGAGCCACGTGGGGGGTCTCCAAGTATTACCCCTTTGCATACCCCCCCCTCTTCCAACGGGATGGAGGGGAGTGGCAATTCGGGCAGGAAGAAGTCTTCTTTGGCCATCGAAGTGCTCGGTCGGGATCACCCTAGCCCGACTAATAGGGGGAGTACCGGATCCTCGTTCAAAAGTGACTCCAGGCTCCCCACTCATCGGAGCACAAGGGGGGTGGGTATTTCACCACACCCTAGAGAGAGAGGGGGGTAGACACTTTTCTGGTGTGAATGGCTCCTATGGACTTGTTGATCTTGGGGCTGTAAACGTCACTAGTGTCACTATCGAGGCCGATAATACGAGGCATTGATCAAGTCTAGCAACTCTGATTGAGCTTGCTAAGGGTTTTAAAAAAATGTAAGCCACTGAACGGTTTGCGTCTCACAAGAAAGCAGAAATGGGGGGTTTTTAGCTCTTGGTATTTTTCTATTACTTGTTGTTGGAGTTGAACCATTGTTTCCCGGATAATCGTGGACAAGTAAAATAATAGTCATGATAAGTCACGGTGTTGTACAGTACATGTATTTCTCGCGAGGGCGAGGGAGATGGTGTAAGAACCACGTAAAATGGACAAAATTCAAAATCTATAAGCAGGGACCTCTAATTAATCTAAACTTAAAATCCATACTGTCACACGGGAGAAATAAAATAGGGCTAAAAAAATAGGCGAAACATTCCCATTATACTGTAACTACAATAGCACACCCTTGCCTGCATGCCAAACCCTACCACAATGAAATCATGAATCCTCACTTAGCCGTTAGCGAATGCTAATAAATGCTCGAGGTGGGGGGGGGGGGGGGGCGGGCCGGGCAAGGTATAGCGTTCCTATGGGGATTCTGGGAGAGCTGCGCATACCAGTTCCTGGAGATGAGAGGGAACGTTTTGTATAGTTGTGGTTAATCCGTATTATGGTTTGCAGAACTATGAGCTTGCGGTAGCCTCGCCACTCCCCCATGCCCCCTCCCGCAATCCAGAGAGTGTGGCCTCTGACTGCCTTGGGGTTGGTGTCCTCCCATTCCAGTAGCAGCTTCAACGCCCCCCTCGTTCACCAACCAAGAAGCCCACAATAGTGGCGTCACACCGTCTTTTGCTGGGCATGCTGGGGTTGACATCTTGCGTTCTGATGTGAGCTCTGCCGTTCCGCTACTCCCTCTCTTAGTAGCCAGCAACAGCGGTGTTTAGCCGTCTTTGCCTAGAAGTCCGGTTTGACATCTTTGTTGATGTGGGGGATAACGGAGGACCTATTGCGCAGTTGGGGAATAGAAGGCTCAATGGGTATGTGTGGCACTATAGCAGTATGCAAGTAAGAATGAGAGGTAAGAGGTAAGGTAAAACAACTTTGTTCCGCACTCCTCCAAAATAACGGTAAAGACATCTGTATAAGTAAAACATAAACAATGCACTCTGATCCTTCCATTGATCACCACACCAATCTCTATCTCTCCATGTGTGCTGCCCTTTCCTCTGTACACTTCCATAATAACAAAGGAGACACATACTCCATGAATCTTCTCTGTCAATCTCTGAACCTCCACACTGATCTATCAATCCACTAAACTCCCACTAAACTCCCGCCAAACTCCCAAACCTTTCCATGATCTATCCCAATCAATCCACATCCTTCCAGAGCCTTCAACAATCTTCTCTTCCCAATAGTGCCCCTACCATCCCCACATGCTCCACAGCGGCCAATCAGAGTAATGTTTGGCGGTATTTGTCCGGGCCATTGATGTTGACATCTTCCCGTTCTACGAAACGCCTCACTACTCCACCGGACTGGACAGGAGGGGTGTCCGACCGTATCCGTCAGCTGCATCGGGTCCCACCACCTTCTCCCCAATTGTAACTTTACCACACCGCTGTGCCCATGGTAGCCAGCAAGATCAGCGTTCAACCGGATGCGTCTAGTCTATTGGAGTGGGGCATATCATCTTAGAAATCTCATATTTATCACTCGTGGCATCCTACCCCACCAACCATCTGTGCCATTGGGATTAGGGATTGCGGCCAAGATATAGTCACAATTCCGTCGTGTCCCTTGCCAGCAGCCCACGAGAGCTCTGTTCGTCAGAACATTTGTCCGGTTTGTCCGGTATGACAGTTGACTGTTCTAACAATAGCCCGGATGCCCTCCTCTCGCCCACATGTAGCTGCAATGCAAGTAGCGTAATAAATTACCCAGAAAATCTCTTTTGTTAGGGTCTTAGTTTGACTGGCCAATGAGAGCAATCGCAACTCCAACAATGCCGAAAACTGATGCACCATATTGGCCATTCAGCCCGGTCCGGTTACCGCCGATGGGGATATCATGATTATATGGACCGGTCCTCGATGTGAGATCCGCCAAGAGTGACTTGGTAGACATATATGGCTTTTAATTTGACTGAAAGGCTTGAGTGCAAGTGATATCAACTCCCCCGATGCCTATCTCTTGGAGTGGATTCCCCGATATAAGGAAGAGTATTTGAAGAAGGGGAGTTGCCGTGGGGAGAGCAAAGAGTGCAGGTAAGATCTGGAATATGAGGTATGTTGGACAAAGGCAAGCCCCAGCCTCTATGGAGTGAGTTGCAGCGAAAATGTGGGGATAGGTGTAAACGCACTCCTATGGCTCCCTTTAGCAACGACAAGCGGTGGGTAACAGCTTAACAATATTTTCACCCAAGGAATCCTTTCATAACCGAGATCAGTAGACCCTACATTGACTACTAAGGAGTGGGAAAGCTCAGAGGGTCGTAATAGCCGCTCCGAATGGGAGGTACACATCAGAGCAGCCATCCCCCCTTGTTTTCTCCCCACCCTATAAAGGAGCTCTTCCTAGAGTCGCATTGTAAGCACCCTTCAGATCCGAGCCATCTATCAGCGCTGTGAGTTTTTCCGCCTACCATAGACCGTAGCCCACCAAGGATAGTATCCGTAGCTAGGAAGATCAATTGAAATCTGTCTTTGTTAGTGAGAAATGGGAGCTATATTTTTTTCCCATCCCGCTTCTCACATACGTTTCGGTAATATTCTCACAAACGCTTTTGATCATCCAGGCCTCCAGACCACTATCAGTCACCCCCAAAGATGTATCACCACTCAGTCTCATCCGAATATATCCCATGATATCGTCAGTATTAGGTTTCATGGATATAATTGCTCTCCCGGTAAGCTGGCTCACTATATCTCCCTGGGTGTGCCATCTTCCGGTCAGGAATGTCTGCGCGTTTGGGGACTGCTCGGGAATTTGTCGTAACGAACCTAGGATCTCAGGTTGATGTCCTTCCACACATTAGCTCAGAGCGCCAACACACAAGAATGCCCGCTTTAAGATGTGACAGTCTGCGACATCTCCAATATTCCGGGCACCCGTATCCCCCCCCCCCCCCCACCAATGGCCTTTTTGTAATCTTGAAAGGTCTGACTTATTCCGTCCATGATCCTTTCCAGTCCATTGACAATCCGTTTCAGTAGTGAGACGAGCATGTTTGTTGGAGACCGCTCCTCCCGCGTTGCGAAATAAACCTAGAAACACCCAACAACTATATTTTGCTCATTGGCTTTGTCGCATAACTGGCCCCCACCAGTGAACCAGTATTTATATTCCTCAGCACCGCCACCATTTAGCTTTTTCCTCCCGGATTGTCTTTCACCTGAAATAGGCCTCACCGGCTGCTGGATCGCCGCAGCAAGACAAGACGGCATGCCCAGACACCTCCCACGTCCCACCATCCCACCATCTTTGAGATTCATTGTTTAGGAGCCGCCATTACACCATACTATCGGCACGGCCGGATTTAATGCCCTGATGTCAGATGCGGGGCTCGATTGGTGATAGCCATGCCAGAACCTCGGACCTCTCGTCCGCCACACCAAAGTTCACATCCCGCACTGTCATTATCCAAAGGTGTGTTATTGAGTGCTGGATATTGCCGGGTGAGCTTACAGCATCACTGATGTGAGAGCGACATCTCCTTACTAGTTGTAAGCTGATGCAAAGCATGATCTTTATTGTTTCGGTTCCTAACCGCGCCAAGATTCCCACCCCCCATCCTTCGCCACCATACCCCAACAGCTTCATGTTTTTTTTCCACAGCTTTTTTCTCTTTTTGCCGGCTGTCTCCTCTGTTCTATAGTCCCTATGCCTTCTCAAGCCGGGTTCCTATACCACACCCACTCCGGACCCACCATCCCTTCCTTGAACACCACAATTAGCACACCTCTCTCTCGCCGTTAGATCTACCCCCACCTCCGGCTCACCCTCCTTCGCAGAGTGGGAAACTACTCCCACGGCTCTCACCAAGATTTAACGCACAGTAACACCCATCATTCCCGCAGCGCCAGTAGATTCGTATACACAAGAGCATCCAAGCCCCAACCCTGAAAATCGACATACCAATCTTATATGTTAGAGTGCCATTGATCACACGATACATTTTCGTTCCAATCCCCCAACGAGTGATAACGTATGAGTAGGACAGAATACCTTACATAAGCACAAGCTCGGCCAGGAACCTTTCAAGCCTACCCAGCATAACATGTCAGCCAGGGGAAATTATGCCCGGGTGAAAGAACCTTACAAGCTATCCTCTGCGGAATGAAAGGTATGAGAAGGGTGCAGGAGAAATTGATGCTCCCAAGCATAAACCTGAAATGCGTACCTTATCTTCATCACAGCCCCCTTCACGAACATGTAGTGCGTGGTATCTCTGCAAGGCGTGGCAGCCCACACTTCTCTTTCTTCCTTTTTTCTTTTTTTTTCTTTCCTCAAATTCACAGATGAATTCCAATGCACCCCCCCCCCCCCACGGCATCCGCCGATACGTAGCAAGTCTCGGAGTACGCAGCACAATACCCGCACCGTGAATACCCTACAAGAAATAATAGAAACCGAGTGATATCTTGAGTTCATGGTGCGCCGCCAGCCAGCCCCCGAACACGGAAAGCTACGGTACGACCGCAACAATCGTGAACCCACTACCGTCACTGATACCCATGCATGCTCAACCAGCACTAATTCACCAGTACTGTACTGTACAAGTACAAGTATCATACCACCACCACCGCACAGCTTCCACTTTTTCACTTTCCCACCCCCCCCCCTTCTTCTCATCGGATCACTCCGTTCTTAAGTTAACTTCAATTTCCCAAAGCTGACTTACGCCCTATTACTCAACACCTTTGCGCAGTGCTACAAGCAAGTTAGTAAGCGACCTCGTCACAAATCCCCACCCCCACTATAATTTACTTACCTCGCAGCATGCTACACTATACGCTGTGGGGTGCGAATACGCCAGGCTCAACACAAATACACACAGTGATTAGGGTAACCTATGCGGTGGGGTTGGGCCGTCCACGGTTCACGAGTTTGATACCTTGCTTTCTTTCCTCTGCACAAGGTGGTGAATTACACCTTGCCCCCGAGTATCATCCATTATGCTACAGGTATACTGCTACGAATACCGGCAATGCAAAAGCAGTGGAGTTACGCTACGCGACGCAGGGGCTAAAGTTCCACAATATACCGCCTCCCAGGATGCCACACCCGCGTGACCCACTACACTGTGTGGTATGGCGAATCTGTGGTGGGACCGGTATGGTATGAACCGGTCGGGGACATATTTCACATGCGAGACGCACAACGCCATACAATAGAAATTTACCCTTACTCCAAATTAAAATCCTCCTACTAGCCAAAAAAACCCAATGTGTACAACACATTACATTAGAACCCAGTACCCCACCACAAAAACAAATTATCTATGTACAAGAAGTTTACCACGCCCTTTGCTTCCCGTCTTTAACCCGTTTCGCGAAGAGTGGGATGATGGGCTTAATAGCCATATCTGAGGTCCCCGCGAAGGTGGAATTTCCTCGAACTCTCACCAATGGAAATGCCCAAGCCGCTAGATGGGATGACCCAGTTTTGCTTGGTGACGTCCCAGTAACTCAGGTCCCGTCGGGTGAGCTTGAAAGTAACAGTCTCGCTCTCGCCAGGCTCGAGGAAGACCTTCTCGAAGCCACGGAGGACACGTTTAGGGAATTCTGAATGTATTGTTAGCACCAGACCAGCAACACGTTATGGAAAATTGCTACTCACCAACAGTGCCATTGGATCCATAGTTGACGTAGAGCTGAGACACCTCCGCTCCGGCAACCTTTCCAGTGTTCTTGAGAGTGTGGGTGATAGTGTAGACTATCTCCCAGAGTGCCGGGTTGCCACCCTCGGCACCACCGGCTTCAGACTTGTGGGCAGGAGTGGTGTAGCCGTCAGGGTATGGGTAGGGCCCAACAGTTATATTGGTGTTGGTAAGGTAAGGGTAGATCATGCGGTTGATCTTGGTGAACCCAGGAGGGAATCCGACTTCAGAAGGGGGGGGAAGCTTAGAATCATAGGTTGGAGGGACAGCCTCAGGAGGAGGGCGAGGCCTAGGAAGAGGTTCCATGGATCCGGTGCGGACAATATTGAGATCGTCGAACTCGAAGGTGGTGTAAGACATACCGAAGCCAAACTCATAGCGAGGGGTGATATCCTTCTTATCAAAGTAGCGGTAATCAATCAACAAGCCCTCAGTGAAGTCCTGTTGCGGGGGATTCCCGTTGGACTCGTAGAGGATACCTGCAGTTGGACCGTAGTCCTCCAAGCTCTTTCCAATGGTGTATGGCAGCTTTCCACTGGGGTTAACGGCGCCCCAAAGAACATCGACGAGCGAGTTTCCGCTCTCCTGACCAGGCAAATGAGCCCAGAGGATACCATTAACCTTGTGCGAGGTAGCCCACCCCTCCATGATGATAGGGCCAACAGAGTGAACGACAACGACAGTGGTCTTGCAAGCACCAGCAACCGCCAAGATCAAATCATCTCCTCCAAGCTGAGTTTTGAGATTTGGCCTGTCACCATTGACATCTTGCCACGAGATATAGCCTTCACCGGCATCAGCGTTGACAAAAGCAAGGCAGATATCCTGCTTCTTAGCATCCGCCTTAATCTCATCAAGTTTGGTGTTGTTTAAGATGGAAGAAACTTGACCGCCATAAGTGGCAGCTTGCTTCTCTATAGCCTCAAGAGGAGTAATCAAGTATTCAAAATCGGTGGTACCACTTCCCCATCCGACAGCAAGGGTGCCCTGGTTGCATCCTCGATCGGGACAAGCGTTGGGTCCGTTGCCAGGGCCAGCGTCACTTCCGTAAACGCCAATCTTCATTGGCTTCTTCAACGGGAGGATGTCCTCATTCTTCAACATGGCAATTGCTTCGGCGGCGATCTTGCGGGCGAGAGCCGCATGGTCACCGCGAACATCAACGTGCCGGTTCACGATGGCATATGGGGGCTCGTTCGATCCATAGTACAAGAGTCCGGTAGTGTTCTTGGTCCATGAACTGAAGTTGGGTTCAGGGTAGCCACTATCCTGGCCGAACTGGTACCAGGTCGCAACGATCCGGGTAACCATGTCATCAATCCTGTCCAGAGGTACGGAGCTATTCATAGCAGCCGTAGTGAAATTTGGACCCATGAGGGAAAGCCGATCATCCCAGTTCAGACCGTCACCTATACCAAGTCAACAAAGTGCTCATTTCCGTGGGGACTCTTAAATATACCAGGCATTGTCATATCCATTCCAGCCAGGACAGACGCAACACCGCTCATTTGCGCCAACCAATCGCTACCGGAATCAGTTTTGGCCCGGAACAGAAAAGCTCTAGAGAACACACCTCATAACGAAACCCTGGAATCCCAATTCATCCTTCAAAATGCCATTCTGCAGGTACGAGTTCTGGCAAGCGGCGCTATTGTTGACACGGTTGTAAGAGCACATGACGGCCCCGACACCAGCCTTGACGGAATCCTGGAAAGGCCATAGATAAACCTCGTGAAGAGTTCTATCATCAATGTTTGAGGAAATGGCACCGGGCCCCTGACGGAAATGCTCCTGCTCGTTCCCAATGAGATGCTTGGCAGTGGCGACAACTCCCTGGCTTTGAATACCCTTAATATGCTCGCCACAGGCAATTCCCTGAAGATAAGGATCGGACCCGAAGCCTTCCCAATTCCTTCCACCAGCAGGCATACGGCCAAGAGGGCCCATTGCGGGACCGAGGGCGATATGAACACCCTTCCTGCGGAACTCCTGTCCGAGACCAACACCGCGAGAGTGGAAGAGCTCCTTATCCCAGGTCCCTAGATAGCGTTAGACTTCCGGAAGTCAAAACTGGTATAGGGGGTCAAGAGATACCTCCAATAGTGATACCAGCAGGCCACGAAGTGATCTTATCGGCAAATCGAATACCTAGAGGGCCATCCTGAAGACAGAGCGAGGGGAATCCGAGGCGCGGGACAGGAGCGGTATTCCCTACACAAGGACCCATTGCCCAACCAGTTCCAGTCGTGATATTAACTAAAACCCGTCAGTCCAGTCCAATCCGCCCGGAATACAAACGCCGCACGAACCCTTCTCCAGCAGAGTCATCTGCGAAACGAGGGCCTGAGCCTTAGAATAAGCAGCAGCCCATGATGCAGCAGTTCCGCCCTTAGCTGTTATTTCCCCAACATGTCAGCAACCCAAGCGATCCCCCAATTGACCGAGAAAACGAAACCAACCCAAATAACAGAGGGAAAAGACTCACGGGCAGGATACCAAGGAGGGCTAGTGGTAGAAGCGCCAGACTGCCTAGCATTCAATTCCGTAGGAGCAGCAACAGCAAAACCGGCAGCGCCGAGGAGCAGCAGAAGATTCGCGAGCCCGACCATGTTGAAAATCGATAATCCGCAAGGCTTACCAATCGAAACCTCCGATGCAGTCGACGGAGATAAAGAGGAAACACCAGAAAAGGCGGATTCTCCAAGCATTTATACAAAGGCGGGCCGACCCCTGAAATGTAAACTCCTACCGGTACCGTACTCAGCATGCAAACAAGCAGGCAGGCAAGACCCTGATGGTACAGTAATTCGGTGACCGCGAAAATAAAGCACCAGTAATCCACTAGGCCAGCACACGGCGGTGCGTCAATAGATGCTCTCCCCCACGTCTTCGTATGATATGGCACTGTGCTACCGGTACCGTAACTGCACGTACGAGTACTATACTCGTGAATACCGTATCACCATATCATGGTTCGGGAGGAGCCAGCCGGTGCCTCAATTCAATCCCTCTTCCCTCCCTTTCCCTCCTCCTCCTCCCCCCCGCGTGTCCCACAAGTACGAGCAGAAAAACATGCACATGACCTCCCTAAACAGACACCCCTCCGGACCTCTGCCTCGTTCCAGCGGAAATTTGTGTGGAGAGGTGTACCCAAGTACCCGTGCAAGTACGGTAGAGGGGTGTGTTTCTCCCCCTAAAGTTACCATAGCCCCTAGTACGGTAGAGCGCCGGTAGATTGTACTCGAGTACAGTATTCGTACTTGTAAGGGGGAAAGAAGACAAAAATAAAACTGTGGTACAGCTTTACCCCAGCCATGGGCCCACCACCTCACAATTTATCGGGCAATAAAATTTAACATTGCGCTTTCATCCCTGCCACCACGAATCTAACGGAACAGCTGCTCCCTGTTCCGATGGGAAAAGTAATTTAGCTGTACGATGCCGTTATCCAGATACAGTACGGCGCTTTGGAGGTTGACAGTTGGGAACGGGTATTCCTTTTTGCTCCTCGGCTTCGGCACCGGGACGCCACGACCGTTAGTTGATACCCGTTGCGGAAGGGGCGTCATAATGTACGAGTACCGGTACTCGAGTACTCGTCCTGATATACGGTACTTGGCTATGGATATTGCAGTACGGATGGGATCAGCCCCGGGTACGATACCCAATCTGACCGACCGATAAACTCGTGAACTTCCCGCTATAACATGTGTACCAGTCCGAGCCTGACCTCGTTCTCCATGATGATAACTTATTCCTCAGGGGTATTGACACTCCGCCTACGATACCCTACCCTACAGCACCGGTAACACAGCACCACCTCTAGAGCAACAACATGACCCATGCTTAGTCATGACAGGGTAGATCAAATTTAACTCTAATGCTTGCCATTTAGGGGTGGACCACCGAAGCCTCTTCCTTGGCCCTTTCTCCATCGTTCAATCCAAATGCCCCCGCGCTATTCATGATCCACCCCCCCCCCATACCGGTACCCTGCTCTATCACTTTTCCCCACCACCGCCACCATGTCAGGTAGGCCTACCGCATGATGCGAATATCTTAGCCATTGCCCTCGGGCATCAAACCTTACTCGAGTACTAGAAGACTAAACGCGAAGGACATCATGCGGAAAGCCCAGAAACCCCACAGTGATCCTAGCCCCTCCTCCGTTTCAGCACGATTAGCAATGAACTCTAGAAGTACCGTTTATAGTCTGCTCCAGTGTCGCAAGGCTCTCGAGTCGCGAGAATTTGGCAGGTCTTTGCGTTCTGGTGGGCGGGACCTGTTTGTGGTGCTGACCTTCTGTAGGGGCACAGTACGGTGCTCACAGCGTAGGTACGGTATAGAATCTCGTGATGCCGGCGCAGGCCATACCAGAAATACGGTACCGTGTTCTGCGCTGCGTGTACAGTACGAGTACAGCACCCTCGCCCTCACGCACAGGATGCCCCGATAGCCTGAAGTGCTTATATTGTACCAAGCCCGGTAACGTACCGTGCCCCCCCGGAAACCCAAATTCTACCCGTGCCAAAACTTTCGATTCCGCAACTGGGTTAAGTTGCCGTACAAGTGGTTGTGCTGAATTACAATACCGTTATCCGAGTATAGTTTCCCACCACCGCAGCTACCGCCACTTACCGGTACAAGTACCATTGTCTCCACTCATGCCCCCGCCCGCCCCCATAGGCATGCCGCTCCAGATATTCCTATCACCCGACGAGACACGGGAGCTGAGGTGAGCTGGAAATGGAGGACGCTTAACAGAACCCAAATTTGCTGTGCCTCCCGCCGTCTCCGAGAAGGCAAGATGTGTCCGAATCTGAGACAGACCATGATCCTTTGAGGTTATTATCGTACCGGATTGAGCACCTGGGTTTTTACGGGGTGCCCCACCCCTATCATACCGATACCACGATATTCTCGGAGAGATGCACGGTCCGGTACGAGTACGGTGTGACCAACTCTGTCGCGAGTTCCGATGCGAGGCCCTCTTTTCGTTGCGTCCCGTGATTTCATGCTACCGTAAAATCTTCCTGATTTATTTATTTTAATTTTTCCTTATTTCTTATTTTTTTCTATGAGTGATCTTCGTGACTGTGCTCCTCCGTGTTGTGTCGTGTTGAGAAGGGGCTGGTGCGGGATCACCTGGAGAGTTCTGTTGGTTGCTGCATGGAAAAGTTAGCGCTCAAGGAATGTCTTTGGTGATTATACGGTCATACCCCCGAAATACGGGAACTGTGGTACTCGTACTATTATACAAGTGGTAGAATCTTACACCGTCATGCAGAACCGTATTTCCACTCCCTCTCATCTCCTGGACGTGATCTCCCAGGACCGCAGGCTGCGCCCACATCATCCATCCTCCACGCACATGTGGGCAGCACCGGTACCGTACTGCATTGAACTGTACTCTACGAGCACAATACCATCCCTACGTTTTCATACGGTACTCGAGTACACGCAGTAGGCATTTACCGGGATAGCAGATATCACAGTACCGTACTCGAGTACCGGTAATTCCGGCAATAACTTGTAGACCAGAGAGCACAATACGGTAAATAAACAGCCCTACCGGGGGGATCTCAACAAGGTACAGTACTCGTACCGCACCGCATCCCTGAAGTGAAAGTCCAGGGTGGCCTGGAGCTTCTGTTAGAGTAGGCGAGCCAACCGGAGGACCCCGGAATCGTTACACCTTAATCGATTAGCAAAAGCAATCGAGCAGATCCACATCAACGCTAATCAGACCTGTTAAAAGTACTCGTACTAGTACGAAACGACGCGGCACGCTGTTATGCCTCTGTCAAAGAAGCAACTTGACGGGTACGAGTACCGTACCGTACCGCTACAAGTACATATTTGCCCCCGGAAGCACCGGTCCCCCCCATACGATACCCCCCAACTACCGCTCGCGCGGTGAGATTAAAGGGCCGCGCGACGGGAACAGCGAGCTGACGCCGAGAGAAAAAAAAACTGCCAATTTTACCTAGGGCACTAAGATCCCTAACTTGGAGATCATTTCGTCCCCGATTTTAGAGTGCTCGGGAGCAGAGACTGTCTGTCATGTTCGGATTACTTGTTTGTAGTTGTGATGTAGAGGCATTTGATCTCACCCCAAGTGTTATATTTAAGCAGAAAAAAGTTGGGGCATGTCGTGTTCTGTTTAAATTTATATGCTACTGCTCCACCATAGATGATACAAGGCGCTTGGCAGCGTGGACTACCGTATTAACTCCATGGGGAGTGAACAACGAGAAATACTTGTAGAGCAGTAGAAGACTTTATTTTGCGGATGAATCTCAAATCTCAGACTGCCGGGTGAAAAAAGAAAGAAAAAGAAAAAAAAGACACTTCTAGAGTACCGTACCGTACAGCGATGGATTTCCCCCCACTTGTTTATTCGGCCCGTTTCGGTCCCGTGTACGGGTACGGGTAGGCTAACGCTGTCAACGGATATACCATAGAATAGAAAAAGAAAAGTGGGAGAAAAAAAAAGCCCCGGTATGCAAAGAGGGATGGCACCATACGATACGAGTACTGTACTGTGCTCGAGTGCTGTACTCGTATCATACTCGTACCGTACTCAGTACAGCACAGCACATGTATCTTGAGCGATACGGTGCCGTGCATACTGTACCACAACATTTGGCCGGTATCCCACAAGACATGTTTTGGAAATTAAAATTATCACCGCATCTCGGTACTGTACGGTACTGTTATTCGAGTCCATTTGGTCGTATTCCCAGAAATCGGTTCATTGGCTCACTACGGGACCGCCCAAGGACCAGCGCAGCGGAAGTCAGCACAGCACGCTTCCCAAACCTGTACGACGTATCATAGTCCCGGGAACCCGTAATGTCCGTCGTTTTCTGAGGGGGTATCGTAACGGCCATGTCCGGTCGTGTGCCCCGGGCTCTGGATGGGGGTTTCCTGTCTAGGTGAAGGAAAGGTAGGTAGGTGTATCATAATTCTGGCGCGGAGGGTTTGGATCTGGCTGGGTTTGTCTCGGGGACTCCTCGTGGTGTTAGTGTGCTGAGCTGGCTACCGTAAGTGTGGCCACGAATTCTCTTGGAATGGGATATGTAATGTATCATACCTGTCCCCCGCCTCCAGAGCAGTGTCTAGATAGGGTATAATAGTGGTCTCGGGGTGGAGGGTACCGTAGTTTATCACCTCTGGTAACAACACCTAGATTTAAGTATAATTCCTATCTCCGTCGTGTTGGATATATGGCTTCAAGGTGACGAAGGGACATCTGGTATGGAGGTCAGCAACTTATGTGATTGTATATAGATACCCGCTCATGGGCATGAATACTCTGGTTCGGGGGCGCCCGTATGAAAGAATAAGGAGAACAGCAACAGCACACAGGAAATCAACTCTTTAGTCTTTTCTATACTTTTCTTTACAGCTCTCGTACCATACAAGGTTTTCTTTCCTTTCCGCTGCTCAATCTGGCCTTGAATTTTCGACATCTTGTGTTGTGGGAATGACTTCAACGCGGGGAAGTATATGACGGCGTAGGACATCGGCAATACTATTCTTGACATTGGGATCTGGGAATGAGAAGTGTCATACTGATGTATACTATAGCACCTATTCATCGCTATAAGACGGACAGTCTGGGGTGTGACCATTGGAGGGAACGAAGCAAGGAATCAAGTCTCTCTTCGCTCAATCAAATTCCATATATCTTTCATGTATTCGTCTTACCTTCAAGCCCAGGTTTTCAGTACGTGACCTCCGACATGTTGTTTGGGTGAATTCACGAGTGAGCGATTGTGATCCGTCTCAAGTCCGTATTTATAAGCAGCATATCTAATTTGGCTGTATGCCAGTATACCTCATTGAGGAGCTAGAGAAACAGAGGGAAAACATTGCAGTACATTGAGATGCTAGTTGAGCACCGAATTGGGGGGGGGACTAGAACGATTGTCCAAGCCCCAAGAGTAACTAAAAGGAGATCTCCCGAGATGGCAAGAAAGAAGATGCGTTCAAACAGGTGACAACACTCCTCTGTCCAAAGACCGATTCTCGCGGAGTCGTGTCCTAGAGCACGATATGAAGCAAGGTTCCCAAGTATAGTTCTCACTAACGTGGAAACGTATATCACAAGAGGTAAATGCGCCTTTGGACAAACCGGGGAATTTGCGGGGGCACAACTATCAACCATTGGACAGCCGCTATTCCCTTCGTCGCTGCCGTGATTTCCCGCGTCGCCTTCATCCTTTTCATGTTTCTTCCTGTGCTTCTTGGTTATAACTTTTTCCACAGTTTTGCCTGGATGAGAGTCGTTCTGGTGTTACCCAGCACAACTCCTGAATACATTGCGTGGTGTTCAGTGTAGCGCAAAGTTCTTTGAGGGTAGGTAGCGTCAGGGCACCATCAATTATCGAATAATTGAACTGTGGGCTATGGAGTGTTAATAAGCTCCGGAACCGGGAAGAACGCATAAAGTATTAAATGTATAATTATGGTGGAATAGGAACCGAGTGAGAACTTATTCTTAAGCGTGTAATAACCTCCTATTAAGAAAAAAATTTAGCTGGATGCATTTATATATGTAGCACAGTAGAAAAATAATATATAAGTTATTATATTTCAAATAAAGTCTATTATACAAAATACGGGTGGAATTTCAGATTCGAAAATTCATATATGGAATAACACTCGCATATAGTACCGTAGGAATATGAAACTAGGAGAGTAGAAGCACTGTTATAGTGATTGGGGTCTGATTGGTGAATCTGATTTTGATTCTTTATGTATTTTACTAAACTTTATTCTGAAAAATTCTGATTTTGTAGACTTTATTTGAAAGATAATAACCTGTGTATTATTTTTCTACCGTGCTATTCATAATTGGTGGTTTATTTTCTTCTATAGTAGGGTCAAGTTACAAACTATTACCCTATTATAAAAAAAAATGGTGTGTCACACTTGCTTCTGCTGACTATGAGAAGTGAAATAGGAGGGTAACTGGGTATTTCCTCCTGGGTTTTTATACTAAACTTACAGGTTCAATTAACCACCGAAAAGCTAAATAATATTCAAGATTCTTTAGATAGTAATCAGATTGAAGGGCTACAAGGAATTCGACATATACTTGTTAAAACAAAAATAAAAAAACTGTCCTCAACCTTTTTTGAAATCCAAATGACTGATCTATACCTTGCTAGTAAAATTGAGCGTCTCCTCTTGTAACCTCACAAAATTACTAACAAACCTGTTTTCCTGGGATACTCGATGTATGAGTAATAGCTATCAACACAGTTCTTCATCCATCCTATCAAGGCTGCTGGAGGAGAGTAATTGCTGTGTTGCCAAACAGGCCCTAAGTTATATCTCAGAAACAGACTTTTGATTTTTTGGCGAAAGAAATTGCTAATTTTTTTCTGTTGATACCACCAATGGGGAAATGAGTTAGCAAGTGTGATTGCAATGCGGATATCCCATACTGGTACTCGAGTACAAATTGCCTGTCTCGGAAGTGTTTTGGCAGTACTCGAGTACAATAGACATCAAGAACTCTTTAGCTTGAAATTTTTGCGGCAGTTTCCATAAAATGGGACAGAATTACCCAAAGATTGGTGTCAAACTGCAGTGCCCGAAAAATAACTAGACTTTTCTGAGGTAATGGGGTGCATAGGCACCTATTGAAAGTCAGCATTTTATATGGGAAACCATGTGTGTCCATTGCTTTTGTCACCAAGATCGTAGTGTACATTAAGGCCCCAATACTCGAGCATATCATACCGCCACCCCGGCAAATAGTAACACAACTTGTTCAGTGATAGCAAACATCGAACCCACAACACTTGCTGTCAGACAAACACACAACTAACTACGGTACACCCACGGTCACAACCCCAAGTCATTTAACAAATGAGGTGAAAAGCTCCATTACACACGAGGAGATAGGATAAGAATACAATCGCAAAATCACGAAAGCCACCCGGGTGAACCAATAGAAAATAAAACAAAACAAGACCCATGAAATTTTTTGATCAGGAAATATACTGTGCCATTGACCCGTCTTCCCTAAAGGAAAGAGTAGAGAGGAGTGAAAAAAGCGAAATAGGAGAGAGGGGAAGAGTAGTGAGACACGGCGTAGGTTTTTAATACCACCCCTTTCTCCTACCCCCGCCTCTCTTTGCGGGAGTCCTGCTAATGACCCAGACTCCACGGCGGTTATCGTCGATCATGGGTCTCCCATGCGGGAATCTATCCGTGTATGTCATTAGCAAACATACCCCCGGCAGTGATCCGGAAAGGAGGGGAAAATAGCATACTCAATCTCACTCCTAACCCTGCGAATGCCCTTCGGTTTCCCCTCCCAAACCCTCATCTTCTCAAAGAAAACGTAGCTCCCGTAAAACATGCCACACTCCGCACCCGCAGTCTCGCCCTTCTTCTCCATGAACCTCCTATAGGTATTAGCGTTCACGTCGCCAATCGCCTCGCGAAACTTCTTCTGCGTGACCTTGGAGTACTTTGGGTTGCGAAAGAAGGCGCGGATCTTGCGGCGGAGCTCATCGCAGGAGTCATAGACTGGTACTGAATCCGTGGACTCGCCGGGAAGGGGGATCGATAGGAACGGGAGGTCCGGATCTGCCGGATCTTGCACATCGGTGTGGGTGGAGGGGTCGAGATAGACGTTTGTAGAGATTGGGACGAGGGTTCTATCGACTGCGGGAACGGGAGCCGGAGGGGCGGTGGCTGGGTCCGGTACCGCGGACGCGGTAGCAGCAGTGATGGTAGCAGCGGCGGTGGAAGGTGTAGACTTCGCGGCACGAGGTTTACGGCCTTTCTTGGGCGGGACGGGCTGGAATAGCTCCGGCGCCATCTGGCCGAGGTCGATTATTCCGCTGCTCATGTTGCTCTCGGATGATCTGTATCTCTTGTGTCTCGTTAGTATGTTTGCTTTCGAAGATTGTACAGGCACAACACGTACAGGAATGTTTGCTATGTGGGAGATGTGGAGTTGGATTTGTGGGTGGCAGTGGGGAAGGGAAAAGAGGGGGGGAACAAGAGAGCACGGGTATGAAGAAAAATGGTAGAAAATTAGGGCAGCCTAGGAGACGAGGGCCGAAGCTAGGGAGTTTGAGGGCAAATTAGGATACGAGTTTGCCTCCATGACGAGAATCACGTGAGTTTTACGTCATGACTCCGAGGAGAGGGATGTGGGTTACCGCGAGGGGACGATAAGGGGCCCAAACGACAAGCCAGAATGGTTTTTGGGGCCCTATCTACTCGAGTACTGTAGCTGAAACACGTGTAGTGCCCTGGGCACGGATGGCAAGCAGAACGCAAAACGCGGCGCAGGAAGTGCCAGCGCTATGAATCGATTGCAAAAGGTGGAAATTTGTTGTGATAAGGGAACGACGGCCGAACCTTTTGTGACAACGTTTTCATCCTCGAAGACACTACCTACAAAGAAAAAAGCATTCACCCCTTTCCTTTCATAACAGGAAAATCCATTGAGTCATTCGTGTACTTTGAGCCCATTTGCCTATGATAAGGGTATGGAAAAATGAGCGATAAGCCATGGGAGGCCATTAATAGCCGCATCAACTGACGAGAACCCCCCCCCCCCCTTCCTAATCTTCCTCCAATTACCCAGAGATCTATTTTGTCAACTTCAAGAACCAGTCTGCAAACAGAACAGTCAACATTGCGTGCGGTGCGATGCGGACGTAGTATCTATCAATAGTTAGATGGTAGTCGGAAATATGGCACAGTCGGTGAGGTGAGACTTACGTTCCAAAACCTCTGTAAAATCTCAATAGTCCCTCCTCCTTGGCAACTTTCAGGGCGCAATCCAAGCTCCCCTTATACGGGAGCTTTCCATCAGGACCCTTCGTTTGCTTTTGTAGTCTAGTTTTGACCTACCCCATTGCCGTCTGTTAGCTCCCTATGGTTTGGTATCGTTAATGGGTCTGGGACGTACGAAATCAAATGGCAAGCTGAAGAAACTAGCGAAGAAGCCCGCGACTGCGCTGGCCGCAATTCCTCTTCCGACCTCTGCGTTCTTCCCCTTCCCAAGGACACTATCAAATGCCTCAATCTTTGCAAATCGAGCTTTGCTTTCCGAATAGAAGGCCAATTGGCCAAAGTTGAGTGCCATAGCTCTTGCAACCGTGGGCAGACAACCATTCCATAATGCGGCAATGCCTTCTTCACCCGCAATCCTTCTGAGGGCGTTCACAACGCTAGTGTAATTTTTTCTCTCCGCCAGGGGTCTCATTCCATCAGATTGCATTCTAATAAGCGCCAAATCTGCCGGATTACCCAAGACCGCACCTAATCCACCGGCGGATAATGCTGCCAGTGTTCTCTCGCCAAATGTTACGGGGCGGTCCTGAGTCTTGGCAGTGGCGGTGATTTTGTTCATAAACGTTGTGAAGAAGCCCATCCGGGCCGTTGTATAGACCGCCTGACGGAGCAGACCAGCGGAGAGACCGCTGTAGAGATCAAGGAATTTGCCTTGCTTTATTATATCGCCCGCTACTTTGAAAGCAGAGGGTCGGATGGCACTCTTGCCAACACCTTCGCCGGCTAATTGAATACGGACCTACGGAATCTTATGTTAGAAAAATTTTCTTTTTTTCAGCCATTCTCCGGGGTCTGTGTCGATTGAGAATTGGAATGGATTAGGATTATCGCTGGGCAGGAGATAAATGGACCAAAGAGCTAGAGCTCTTAGAAAGCTCTGCTCCTCTGCAAACCAACGGGCCTTTGCGGGGGGCTGAGAAAACACACCTTGACCATGTCCACTGGTTGAATAACACTCGTTGCAATCATTCCTGCCGCTCCACCGTTCAGGAACGGAAGTACACTGCGAGTAATGGGGTGGTGCAAGATGTCTGATTTGCCACCGCGACCAACAGAACGGCCCGGTGCTGCTGCTGCTGCTGCCGACATGATTCTAATTTTTTTTCTTCAGCGGGAATTGAAACTAGCTTCTGGATTTCACGAGGAGGGAGAGAGTGGGAGTAGTGGGTGGAATGAAGGTCATACCTTTGAAGGGAGGAAATAGACCCGAGTTGGAAAGATCAGAACCAGGACGTTGGGAGCTGGATGTAGGACACAATGTTAGCCGGTCCCGTCGGCTCTGGGACGGACGCGGTAAAGAAAGGGTTGGTGTGTAGCCGTGGGTGTGAATAAAGTCACTCACGGCGGTGGGGTTGGAAGAGGGGAGAAGAGGGAAAGAGGAGGAGAGTAATAGCAGAGGAAGAAGGATGAAGATAGAATAAAGCAAAACAAATGAGGGGTATCTCGAGTTTGTCCTTTCGTTCCCGCCAGGGTGCGTAGCACAGGTCATGTGTAGGTGTTCCGGATCCGTTAATCCAGCCAGCGATCATTAATGTCGCTTCCTCAGAGCTCCCACATTTCGAGGCTGCACACTTGGTTTTCATCCCAACACCAACAGATAATGCCTCTCGCCCTCTCTCCTCCCCACTCATTTGCCGGGCCTCCGCGCCCATCACACCAGCAGCGGCTATGTTTGCTAATTCATGTTTTATTATTGCCGGAATAACCTACAGCGAGCAGACAGCGAGAAATTCAGCGATGGTGGGAGCATGCATTTCTTTCATCCATACATCCTTTCCTTCGCCCATCCACCCTACCATTCGTGCTCCCAACAAAAAGCGCTTTCCCCGGCCCATTCCTCCCCCATCCCTCTACAGTGGCAAGTTAACCGTAGATATTGGTATTAAAATAACCAGCTTTGTTCCGAGGTGGATGCTTTCCCTCCAGGCGCCGCGAGAGTGACTCGGGTTTGGAGGGTTACGTAAGACGACCCCACCGCCGTGTCGTACGGTATCTGTTCTCTGTGGAGGGGGCATAGAGCATGGCAAGGTCTCGAGAGAAAAAGGATAGAGACGGGGGTTTTTATATCCGTTGGAAAGTATTATGGCATGACATGTGGATTGATACTTTTTAATTATCGTATTTTTTTTCATTTCCCTAGCTTTTCTGCCCTGCGCGATGCGATGTCACCACACCGCTCGGCTGAAAATTAATCTACTCGCTGGAGACACCCTTTCCTTGTGATTGCTCTGCCTGTAGGATGAGGGTGTGTCGGGGGTATGTGAGCTAAGGAAGGGATTACTTGGGTGGGCATCATATCATACTGTTTGTGTTCTCTGTTGGCGCTCCGCCAGCAGCTCTTGATAGGATAACAATGTTCTCCGTTGAGGAGCTGCTTATCAGCTCGGTTAAGCTGACGGGCGGAGTGAAATGCGGGGTAACAAGCCTTGCATGTGCGGGTCTAAAATCGTGGAATCTGGGAACGCCTGGACGGAAAGTGGAAGTGTTGGAATGGAGGTATTCCAACACCAGCACGTACCAGCCCTTGTACTATTTATTCCTTAAATCAATAGAGTAGAGTAGTCTGGCGAGATTTTGGGTAAATATTCAGGGCACTTTGCACATTTATCTTAGGATCGTCGTTGAAAATTAGTACTGTACATGTAGGGAAGAGCCGTTGTCAAGACTTTCTCCTGGACGAGGAAGTGAGATACCAGATGGAGGATAGGCCTAAGCACTTGTACTGTAACCACCGGAAACGGTATCGCAACAGGATATACGAGTTAGAAATTGTAACGGAGCCTAGCCTGGCCCGATTTTATATCCCATTATGAGTTTGTTGCAGTAACCGGAATTTGCTCCCGGCCCTAGATTCTCGCACACTGCACTTGTACCGGCACAGTACCAGCCTGCAGTTTCGATGAGACCACCAGCACAAGGCAGCTTTCCCGGATCTCTGGGTTCCGTTCGATTTTGGCAATGGAGGATAAGTTCTGTGCCCTCCGGTGTGTTTTCTGGGAAAACCAAATACTTATCTTTAACACACCATTTAGGGTTAGGGGGTGGAAAAAAAAAATACGAGAACAAATTTTGATAGAGGCCTTGATCCAAAGCATGCCTTGAAACCCGGTTACAGAAGCCGTTCTGGAGGCTACGAGAATATGATTCTGAAAGCGAACCAGCTTGTGGGACCGTTAGTGAAGTATACCTTAATATGTCAAAGTATTTGCGAATACCTCTTCTTATTATCGATGCTTAGAGGGAAGGGCCTGTTGTCCTTATCTGTGGCACGGCATTGGAGGGAAAGTGGAGGGAAAGTGGAGGGAAACACTGGGAGGTAGTCTTGGAGGGAGCAATCATCAGGGTCGGACAGCCATCAATTCCAGTTTTCTTGGTGCACTAACTTAAGGCAAGGCGATGTGCTGTACGATAAGTTTAGTGCTTCCCTCAAGCCTACAAGATATCTCATGCGCTACTATCTAATACCTTTCTCTCCCTATCTTCATAACCCTCCTAAGAAAGGCAAAAGCTTTTCTACTCAAGTACTGTACAGTACTATTGGCAAAGCACTTTATGCTAAATACAACGTCAGGAAAGCTTTGTCTCAGGGGAGTTGGTTCAATTTCATTTGGTGAAGGCAGTGGTAGGGATGGTGCGGGCCTTATTACACTTCCAGGACAATTTACTTTGATAAGGATATAGACTTAGCCGATACACGGCACTTTGCAGGAAGACCTACATCGGGCGCCTACACCCCGTATTTGCCGAGATATGCATACCGTAGATAAATTTCCAACGGCTCCTGATACTCTTGTCTCCGATTCAAGGATTGGTGCACACGTGCCCTCTATATGCTCCTATTAGCTACGGGTTAAGTATTCCAAAAAAGGGTGCCCATGCCCGGCGCGGAGACTCGGGCGCGTTCTCTTGGAACTCCTCCTACCCCAGAGGGTAGGGCACCAATCCGAAACCGGTAGAAAGCCTTTCAATGTGTTAGGCCCTGTTTGGTTGGGCTGGGCCCATTTTGGACCATTCCAGTGTGAAATGGACGGACCTGTGGGAACGGTTGCCAGTTGGGCACCACCATTCACTAGTGGCAAACACATGAAAAACTTTCACTTTAGGGCCTTGTGTAATTTTTTTACCAGTGCCTTCAATTCTTTTAAAATTTAAGTTTTTAACACTCTACCAACAATTTCCTCAAAATAGCTAGATAATAGATTAAACATTAGATGCACTAATAATAGCTACTCACAATAAAACAGAACAATTTTTCACCATGAAATAGTGTCTCTGCTATGCTGAAACTGCTCCTGTACCTCTTTCTTTGATGCTCTGTGACTGACAATCCACAAAAATATAACTAGTTGCTTCTTAACACTTATATGATGAGATAGTCAGAGTAGACTATACTCAGTTATCCAGTCCTGAAGATCCAAGAAAGTGTTTGTTGGCATGTGTATAAGCTCCATCGTGCAACATAGTTGTGCTCTTAGGATTTCTTTAGTATATTGGTGATGTGTACAACTAGAAGTATGTACATACTTGGGAGGCAGAAAGAAGTTTACATAAATTATTGTACTGATTGCGATTTGTATTCATTTATGAAGGATCACAGCATGGATGTGATGATTATCTGCTGGAAGACTCATTATTGAATTGTTTCAAATTGGAATTCAAATTAAAGATGTCTAAGACTTATAAATAATAATATTTATACTATAGAAAACATATTTTACAGGAAAATACTTATTCTATTGATACTATTATTATTACAACTATTTACATATGATGTTTCTACATAGCAACTGTTGTGTTAGGGCTGTATCTGAAATGGAAGGTCAATACCTTTTGCCATTACCAAACAGCCATTTGGTTCCTCCATTTTGAAATGGAAGGGAAATGGTCGCTTGTATGTAAAAACGAAATGGGCCCAGTGCAACCAAACAGGGCCTTAGGGGTTACCGGCAGTCAGGCGCCCCTGCTACTTCATTGGGTCGGGTTGGTTTTACTGGGCCGGGGTGGCTTAGAGGGGTAGAAGAGATTCAGGAATCATGTGGGAGAGTTCCTACCGCTAGAATGCAGTTTATAAACTATCCGGACACCGTGCTTTCTCGGATGAACTTCTGCGAATTCAAAAAAATTTCGCGCCAAAACTTGACACGTTGTCCCGCACAGCTTCCCCGGATTCTGGTGGCCCGGGATAGCGGGGTGCGACTATACCTTATGAAGTTTCTAAGTACAATGGAATGGGAATTATCTGTACGGATTATCTCCGAAGTAGCGGTGAGGGTCCCTCGCACTCGGCATGCTTCGCTGACTGTTTCTGTCTTCCCCCGTGACCTGAGGCAGTGTTTGAGGTCGCGCACAGTGGGACAGCTCTGGTGGCGGTAGGTGAACAAAACAACCGTCTGTTAAGGATTCACGCAGACACGGAATGAGAGGAAGGGAATGAACCAGCTATTTATGCACATCGCAAGACAAAGGTCCTCAGAGCTCTCGGTCCGCAGACTTCTCTGGACGTCGCCATTTACGAGACACCGGAAGGAGAGTCAAGAGCGGGCAGCAGGGATAAGGAGAGCATCGGTGATAGTCGAGGGAAGTGCAAGTACTAATATTCTACAGTGTTGGCTAGGGCTCCAGTAAGAGACGAGCGGGGGAACAAAACGTTAGATCGCATGAAGAAACTCTTGCATCAACATTGCCCTCATGCCAACGAGAGAGACAGGAAATTACTGGAAAACCGCAGGGACACAACTGCTCTCAGATCCAGGCACAACCAGGCATATTCCAGCATCTCTGACTTGTCTCAAGATAGTCTCGATCTTATCAAACATGTCAACTACTCCCTCACCTAGCCCCCTACACCCTGCGACCCATAACCATCATGTCCCTCCGGGTCTTAGCAAACCAAATTCCTCTTTGAGCTTCTGTAATATTCACTATTGAGCTGGTTCTGGTGTGTCCCCAACACTTATTAGTCGCCTATTCGCATCCCCCTTCGGGCCCACCCCGGGCGTCTGAGCCCCCGCTTTCTATCCGAATATTAGCTTATGCGCTCCGAACAAACCTCCAAGCCCAGAGATACCACGCAGATGAAGTACCCGATATCCCGGGATACCTTCCGTTTACGACTGGTGATCGAACCACGCGCTTGGGGAGATCGGATTTCGGCTGCTGGTCGGGGACCTACCGAGAGCATTGAGGGTCGCTATTTGGCGTCTGGTTGTGGCTAGCAGCGTAAGAAAAGTGCTCATCCAAGGGTTACTGCAGGGTCTGGAGTCTATTGGAATATACTGCGAGATACCTCGCCTCTTCGACTTTTGGTCAAATATATTTAAAGTAGGATTCCTTGATTTTTACCGGCGATAGCCCTTGAAGAAACCAATAGGAAGAGTGGTCCAAGCACAGCTAAGCATGAGATGATGGTGAACCAAATGGCGGATAGGAATGGTGGCTAGGGGTAGCTTACGAAATATATATATCTCCCTGGACCAGGAACATCTCTAGAAACCGAGCGATGCTCTATGAACAGAGCACTTCCTGCAAGGACAGATGAAACTCCAAGGAAACAAACAAAAAATACACCATCACCCCGAGCACCCCGCAATAACCTCGGACGTGCCACAGTGACCCCGGATAAACCAATGAATGCCAAGTACCATAAACTGAAACAAACAGCTAAACCAAACACTAATTCCCAATGCCTACTAGCATGGCGTGTGAAAACAATCCATTACCGCATGCCTAACCACCGCGTACCCTGTATAAGCATGCCCCACACCTACATCTTGATACCCCAGAACGGCGTTCTCTACAGGAAATCTAACAGTCTTTGCCACTTGTATACTTATCATTATCATAACCCTTCGGTTCTTGTTAGTAGAGGTATCATAGCTACCCCGTTGCGCTAGTTCTGAGCCTTTCTTAGTCCGCATTGCGTTAATTCTTGGCCATTGCTTCACCAGAGCCGAACCTCAATCGCCCCACAAAATTAGTTCGCTCCTCCTCCTCCTCCTAGTTGAAAACCTTCCTGGTGCTTTGTATCATATGAGCTAGTCCATCCAATTGCAACTTTTCTGCCTCTAGGTGTCCACATATACTCTCGCTCATGTCTGGTATGTACAGGAACAGGTCTCGAGTCATCCATTAAAACCTTCTCACGAGTGATATCTCGTGAATTAGTCAGGTGGGTTAATTGAACCCTCTAACATTGCTTGTTGTGCCGTGCTACAGAATACACATAAAGAGGCATTACAACGGATTGTGAGGTGTTCCTAGGAATAGTCACGAATATCCCACATCCTCTGGGAACTGGTGGCGTCAGTACTAGGTTGATTCTGCTGCAGCTGTGGTCTGTTTTCTGCAAGAATTTTGGCGGACTGGCGCAAGGAAGGAAGGGGCCAAGAATCAGAAAACTGAAAGGGCAAAAAGCACTGGATAAGAGGTGACTCGCTTCCGTAATGTTATATCCTGTCAAGCAGCTGGTTGCTAGGTTTGTCCCCTTTGGAGTTCGGTACGAGCCGGTTCGGGGCCAGCTAGACCGCTAGTTGGCCCGAGCCGGCTCGGCTTACATGGGTGGTCGGGTGGAGAAATTTACGGTACTGCCCGTAGGTCAGGCTCGATCAGTCCCAGTTTTTAGAATGTCATGATTAATCACTCGCGTCTGGCCCGGATTTTTTTTTTATTGTTTGTAGGTAGGATTTTCTAGTTTCCCTTGTTCTATCATTAGTTTTTTTCCCCCCAGTGATTTCTTGTATCCCTCTTTCCCTGTTCACCTTTTTTAAACTCTTGTGTGGTTTCTCATCCTCTATTATCAAGTTCATCTGCAAGCAAACTTGTACCCAAATTCCCCTCAAGTGCTCCCGGTAACGGAATCTCGAATTGACCTAGTGAAGTGGTTTCTTCTGGCCCCGGCTGGTAGTCGCCATAGTGCCCCTGCCTCTGGGTGGGATTTGCACCCGGGTTTGCAACCATACATCCGTTAGGGCTCCCGAGGCTTCCTCCTGGGCTCGAGAAGCATCCCTTTTGACATCCTCGAGCAAAGCGACCCTCGCAGAAAGCTACGATCGCGTGATCCAAGCGATTGGATTGAGACGTGATCACCGGTAGGCTCCCTTCCTGCCATCCAATCGTCCCCTTGACTGCAAGTTTAGTGTAGCGATAGAAAATCGAATGTGTCCAGCCGCTCCACACTACCTACCACAAATAACATTTTTTGATTAGTTCCATCCGTAAGGCAGCCTCACACGCATTATTTTAGCCACTCCAGTAGTCATCGTATCGGAGGCTTTTTGGAGCGGGAGACGGGGAGCTGCCTCACCCCTTATCACTTCTGCTGCACCCCTTGTACCAGTCTCTGAGGGGTTTCTTCCTCACTTTTTGTGGATATTGCTATTGCACCGAGGGTCACCCGGGAATGTCCTGTCGCTCTTCAAGTTTGTTATGGTCTTTTTTTTTTTCATGCCGTTCGGCGATTGGTATTCTATAGTCTCGTTTCGCGAGCGTGGCCAGTAGGGTGCGCTTCCCGGCTTGCGGTGAGGTATCAATGAGTGAGTAAAAGATGTGCGTGCCTTCTAGGGGGGGCGCGCACCGTACGGAGATCTGAATCGACACGCGAGTGATTAAAAGTGATTATTGAGGTTGTATTATAGTATGATACCGGGGGAAGAGAGAGCAGCGGGTCAATTTTTACTATGTTTTTGTAGGTAAATTTTCTCCCACAAGTAGAGAATGTCAGCCAATCAACAGTGTCCGACCGGGCTTGCCTTTTTTTTTTCAATTTTTTTTTTCTTTCAAAAAAACCCTCAAGGTTACAATATGCCCAGATGAAAACTGGCGGTATGATACAGAGTAGAAGTACGGCGTGGCTCTCGATTTAGGGCCTGTTTGGCAAAAACGGAAGGAAGGACAACCGTTCCGTTTTGTGCACAATTTCTTACCTGTAGGAACGGGAAACGGTCATCTGTGTGGGACAACGGAACGGAACGGTCGCATCCAAGCAGGCCATTTGGAATTAATGGCTCGGCACAACCAACCAACATATTATATACCTCGAAGCACAAATCTCCCATTGGTTGAAAGACCTAGGTGGAAAAAAAAGCATTCTTCTAGGAGTGCTTCAAAGAAAGAGACGTTTAGTCTACTTTATGCATCAGTCTCTTTTCTTAGAGCTACTTGCACAGGAGGAAATATGGATTGTTGGAGCAATACTTCTGCCTGTATCGTAGAACTACTACTGAGGTTCTATTTCACACACACCATACCACTACAGAGATCCTGCCCCTGACCCCCGCACCGGGTAGATAACTGCTCAGTAGCACAGCGTAAAAAAAAAAAAACAACTCACGGCTGGTGTCTCCCTGAGGTATGTGGTACTGGTACCTGTACAGTGTAAACAAAAATTTTCTCCACAATTAGCCACTCGGACAAGAGAGAGACTGGCTTGTAAAAGAAAAGCACCCCTTCTCAGCACGCGCGTAGTGACGTCTATCGAATCCAGCAGGGTTTATGGATTTTTGCATTGGAAGTTCTGCGAGTCGTTTATTCTGTCGCTGTCTCGGACCACCAACCACCCCCCCCCCCCGGTACCGCACGGTATGATACTACTCGAGTATCGATCCGTACGCTGCATTTGCACATGGAACTCCCCTAGTAGCGGAAGACAGGATAGCCACACAAGTAGTCCAGCCTAGAAAACATACAGACGTGCAGTACGGTATTGGCACAGTACGGTATCCATCTGAACTGGGGTAACACAGCCTTCACTAAAGGTCTATTTCTTCGCGCAAATCGGGAGCAGACAGTTTAGCATCGCGTGTGTAACTTCACTCCACTCTCCGCAGCCAATTACCGGTACCTTATCCTATCTTACAGCGCATTTCTCCGATACATACGAGTATCATACTTGTACAAGTACCAGGAGCATACCGTAGCTTCCTTTCCTTTCCTTTCTTTTTCCTTTTTCCTTTTTTTTTTTTTTTGATTATCTGAAGGTACCGGTAACCTACCACCCCAGCGCTCTGCAGCAACCCAGAAGTGACCATCTAATTACCGGTATACTTTCCGGCGTACATTGTTATTACCCCACCGGTAAGTTACCCCCCCCCCCCCTTGCCTGAGCGTAGGGTGCGGAGCCTCCTGAGGGTTATTCTACCGCTGTTCCATTTATTCCGTGCATGCTACGAGTACGAGGGGCATGCTATTGAGTATTTGGTGTGTGATGTGTGAAAGGGAGGGGGAAGGATGTCGTTAAAAATCGGAATCTACTCGTGCGGCCGAATTGGAGTTGGTTCACTTTGTATGGTATGGGAATTTTCATTATCGCAGCTAACACGTATACCGGTAAAAATTGGGTTGTTTCCGATTGAGATTTGTGCCCTTCTATTTTTCATCACAATGTGCTTGGTACATGTGCGAGTACAAAGTACATACACTACAGGTACAGTACAGTACAGTACCCCAATCGCTACCATCTCCAAGGGACCTTGAGTTCCCAATCATCGATGCGGTCCCGTCCTTTGGCGGAGTATCTGGATGATGACCTTTTTTTTTTTTCCGATTTTAATGACCCTCCCTCTCCGAGTCCTGATAAATGGTTTGGCTCATCATCCTCGTCCACTCACTCACTCCCCTTCTTCCCACCCCCCCCACCGTTATACTCGTATATATAGAAAAAGGGCGCGCTTAGAGTAGAGAGGAAGAAGGGAAAGAAAAAAAGAAAAATTGCGCGATAGTTCTGAAAGGGTCAGGTATGCTACCGGTACGAGTACTATATTTCCAAGACTAACATTACACACTAGTAACTCAAAGAAAACGGGATGTGAACAAATCTAGGTCGAAGCCCGCTGCAATGTTTTAGACCGAAAGGTATAGTACCGGTGTGATATTATCGCCCCCCTACACATCTTACACATCTCCACGAATAGGGTTTCCAGGTTTCGGCTGGGTGCGTGCTGAGATATGCCGCCTCGGCGCCTCTCGAGTGATTGCACGTGAACACCTTGCTTGGTTGCCTGATTGATGTGTCTCACGTGTAATGATCGACGTGCGCGGTATTGGGGGAGGGGGGAGGGTGTTGGTCTGACGACGGAGGAGGGAAGCAGTTTTCGTCTCTTTCTCCATTCCGGCTTGTTACTGTCTAACTTGCCGTAGTGCCGGTTCTTTCTTTCTTTTTTTTCTTCGCGGTTTCGTTTTTGTTCCACTTTGTTCGGACGCGCGAAAGCGGTCCCTGGTTCGAAAAGGTATATTTGGTCTAAGCATAATTACATTTTTTTATACGTTGACGTTAACTTATATCATTTTACACCTCCGATGATCGTAGCGCAGAACGAAAGAGTAAACAACAGGAAACGCATCCCTTCCGCCATTTTCCGACGGGTACGTTCTCCATGGAACATACTCGTTTGCCTAGAGATTAGGCGGGGAAACAAAAAGAAAGAAAGACATAGGAAAAAAAGGAAACTAAGAGGGGACTAGATAAAAAGCGACAAGAATAGAAATTTAAAACTCTTTAAACATCTCCGTGACCACCTTCAATGTGGGAGAGGCCGGTGGGCTTTCCATCAGGGCCGTGCCCGGTGGCATGCATTTTTTCGTGGTTGTAAGAAATTGATGGAACGAATCCCTGGGAGCGCCATGCCTTGTCGACAGTCATGTAGAGCTGGTCAACGTCCTCAAGTGAAAGTCCCTTGGTCTCGTAGATGAAGAAGTAGACGAAAGCAATGCAGATGAAGCAGCATCCGCCCCAGATGAAGAAGATGTTAAGTCCGAGATTGGCGTTTCCTGGGCCGGAGGCAACGAGGTAGGGGGTTGAGTAGCCGATAGCCCAGTTGAGAAGCCAGTTGGTTGCGGTGGAAATGGAGAGACATTTGGCACGGACCTTAAGAGGATAGATCTCACCAGTAACGACCCAGGTGCAGGGACCCCAAGAGCAGGCGAAGAAGAAGATATAGAAGCAGACGAACGCGATGAGAACATTGTTGGCGACGTCGGACACAGTAGTAACGCCCACTATCGCGACAATGAATTGGCAGAAACACATACCAATGGCACCGAAGAGGAGGAGATTGCGACGACCCATCTTCTCAACCATCCAAAGACCGGGGAAAGTGGAAATGACATTGACCAAGTTCGTGATGAGGCCGATGAGGAAAGCGTTCTGGATCCCGGAGTTCTTGAAGAATTGGGTTCCGTAATAGAAGATGAAGTTGATGCCGGTCAATTGCTGGAGGGCCTGGATTCCGCATCCGGTCAACAATCTCTTGATCATGTCGGGCTTGAAGCAGTCTGCATAGGAGGCGTCTCCGGCACCCAATGACAACTCGTAGTCGTGGATAGCCTTGATCTCGTTCAACTCCTCAACGAGGGCGGGGTGGTCGGCTGGGAGAGAGCGGAGACGACTCATACTCTTTGCGGCATCCTGCATCTTGTCCTTCTTGATAAAGTAGCGAGGGGTCTCGGGGAGGATGAACATGCCGCCGGCCAAGATGGCTGCCCAGACGAACTGAATGGCGAGTGGGATACGGTAGGAACTGTGATCTTTGCGGGCGTGGGTCCCCTGGTTGGCGCAAGCTGCGAGGAGGAGACCAACGGTGATGGCCAATTGGTAACAACCGACGATTGTTCCTCGAATCCATTTTGGTGATGACTCGGATTGGTAAAGAGGCACTTTGAGGGGAGGTCATGTTAGCCGATGGCGAACGGGGGAAGCTTTCGGCGACAGGAGACATACCTAGCGCGGAAACTAAACCGACACCAAAACCAGCGACAACACGACCGGCGGCTGGCATTAAGCAAACGTTAGCTCATGCGCTAGAGAGAGAGAGAGAGAAAAAAAGGAAGGAGAAGAAGACTCGAGGGGAAAGAGGGAGATTCGGGCAAAAAATAAAAATAAAAATAGAATACAGAGACAACTCATCACATACCCATCAGTGGAATAGTGGTGGAAGCGACCTGGAAGGCGACACCGATGGAGAAGATCAGGCAAGAAGCGATAAGACCCATACGACGACCCAAGATATCACCGAAGGGAGAGGCAGTGAGAGCTCCGCAGAAGGTACCAGCAGATAGGATGGAGACGATTAACGAAGTTTGACTCGAGGTCAATGCCGGCACACCCTTTGAGTCCAACTCTGTAGCGAACTCGCTCTGGAAGTAGTCCATGGCAAGGATACCATTGATAGTACCAGTATCGTATCTGATTTACCGTTAGCTCTCAAGTGCCAATACCCGAAATCCTTCCATGATCCTCTTTCGCCTCATTAATCCTCTGGGGGATTGGAAATTGTGGAGGGGAGCGGTAGTAGCATACCCAAAAAGGATTCCACCAAAGGAGACGAAGACACCAATGACAATAGCGGGCAATGCCTTGCCCGCCTCGTTCTCTGGTTTCTTGATGAGGAAACCCATTGTTCGTACTCGAGTTGAATTGACTTGAACGTTGAAGCAGGAAAAGTGAGACTATTGGAAAATCAGATCCCAAAAGAATTCCCTTTCAACCAGTGATTGCAAAGGCTTGGAGAGATGCTTGGGGAGGGGGCATGGGAGGGGGTTAATATATGGGGGAAGGGAAGTAAGAGAAGGGCACCAAGGATCACACGTCCCCACCTTCCCCCAAACATTTTTCCTTCAGTGGAGTTCCCCCAGTGGGGGAAGAGTGCTGGGAAAGAAGCTAGACTGGGGTTAATCTTTCCAGGTTTCCCATCTTGTGGAGACCCCGCTATCCCCCCCTGTGAATCACTTGTGACCGGAGCCTTAGCCCGTTCTTTCGCCCCTTGCGGGGAGCGCGTAATTTTTAATTTTTCCTTTCTGCATCTCCGTTGGCCTACGCTCTCTTCGAGAGCAAGAACCCCGAGTTCCGGCTCTGGGAAACCCTCTCATTATTCCCCTTCCATGTCCGCTCAAGAAACAATTCCAGAATGGCCGCCAGTGCTGGAATCTCTCGGATTTCTTTCTTCCTTTTTCTAGATTTTTCTAGAACCCAATTTCCCGCAGCCCACTTTCCCTCTTTAGCTGTAAACTTCGCCTCTCTGTTAGGAACCAATCTGAGCCTCCGCGGTAGCGTGAAGGGGTAAAAGGATTGAGGGAATTGGAGGACTGAAAAACTGACCACCATTGAGAAAACGATAATTAGGCGTGGTGGCAGGTGGGGGTGGAGAGCATCTGACAGCTGACAGGCTTGGATCCGTATGTATCATGAACGGATGGGTGGGACTTTCAAGTTGCCTGCCTTGAAATGATATCATGGTTTACTCTAAGGCCTTGGGTCCAGGGCACGCGACAATGGGTGTATGTATTTTTTATGATTTCTTTTTTTTTCTTTTCTAGTAACGATAGTAGCTAAATGGATCATATCGCGGATCTCCTACCTGACTCTAGTAATAATTTATACTGGTACCGTGGTTCAGGGGTTAGCAGGGTGGGGCCACCAGTGAGCGAGAAAACTCTACTAGTATCATGCTGTACTCAGTACAGGTACTTGTAATACGGTATGCTACAGCGCCGTATTGCAATTACACCACCACCATTTCATGAAATAATAATGGTGGCTTTGGGTGCCATCTCGCAATGGAAGCCTGTTCCCTCCATGAAATAATTCTAAATTCCTAGCCTAGAAAACGGCGATTTGATTTCTCAATAGCTTAATTCTTAGGGCAATGCTATCCCCGTCTACAGGAAACCTTTCAGTAGCTCCTCTGTTTTGTGCAAAACTATTTATCCCTCGGACGGCCTGAAAGAGAAAAATCCTACCATTTCGGACAATTAAGGGGCCTATTCGATCCAATGTTCCGAGGACGTTGGTAAGTCGTCACCCGAGAAGAAAGTCACGAGACAAGGATCTAGATCCTACCTTTATGGGTTTGCAATAATTACGCTATAGGTACGACCTGCGCACTGCATACTGGTACTGTGCCTACGAACCAACGCTGCTGTTTCATCGCAGGATGCACATAACTTAGGTCGATAGGATAGAGGACAATTCCTCAATTAACCGCCACTAGAACTGACCAGCCGAAGCTTGACCCACGTGCGATTAGCCGAGCTAGATCAAGGAACCCTGGAAATGCCCAATATGGGGGTGGCGATTGGATATTCTTCGTCCCTCCTCTCAGTGCCACCACTAGGGCGGTGTAACCAATTCTTTGAATCCTAATTGCAACAAAGTCCTCAGATCTCATTTGGACCAATAAACTTGGGAAACTCCGGTTCACCAACAAGGGTTCCACTTGATCCGACTTTAATGGGCTAACCATTGGGCCAGATCAAAGTTGCTGCCTGTTGGTATGGTACCAAGATGAAGACAAGGTAAAGCAATGGTCATAGCATAGCGTTAGAGAAGATGTGATACTGCATGAAAACAAGCTCTTCCATGCACAATCAAGCATCTCGAGGAATTATCACTCGATATCGCAACTTTAACAAGTCCGATGGGCTAACCTACCGCAACTTGAGTTACCAGCAGGGAGCACGGCACGATGTACTCGGGATGAACGCCAAGTGGATTGGGATGGTAGATTCCCTCCTCTGAAAAAAAACCCCCCACCCATGGTACAGTTCTTGTGTTTTGTGAGAGTGCCGTACCACGCTCTGCAATATTAATCACGGTAAACAGCCCTAGCGCCGCACCCGCGGTGACGTGCCAAATATCTATTCGAACTCTGGAGGTGAGTATATTCTCCACGACCCACCTCAGGCCTACAGCCCTAAGAGCCCCCTTCCTCCCCCCTCTCCCGAGCAACCGTGAAGGACTTTCTCCCGGCTTCATGTCGCTGGGATACTGGGTCATCTTGAGTTCGGCTCCTGTTACTCACTCACTTGCAAAAACGTAAGATCTATAGGGAACCTAACTCAGGAGTTTGAACATTTAGCGTTTCGGGTGGCAGGCTAGGCCGAATATTTGACCCTGGCACATTCTCCACTTTTGATTTTGATTTTGGGTTTACCGTGCCTTTGTAGGCTGTGGTATTGATACCTAGGCAAGCGCGCTGGCGGGGCAACGGGGTAGTAGCAGCCCTGGTCATGACCTGCAGACCGCATGTAATGGAGGGCAAACTCCTCAATATAATTCTACGAGTGCACGGGAAATTTACCTCATATTATAATATTATGCATACCCGGCTTATCTACACCATCACCAACCAGTGCGCGGGCCAGCCATGTAGGTACCAGGCCAGGCTTCTTGCCAATTCACTGAGGGGTAGGGTATCTGGAGTCTATCGCAGTTTCATAGAGAGATCTGGAGAAAGCCGTCGGGCTAAATTGACACCTCCCCCACGTTTTCACAGAGCCAAATTTGCATTTGCAAGTATCATACCCTGCACGATACGGGTACCTGAGGGAAAAGGTGTTCGAGAAACGATTTGCCATTTATCCTTCTTATCCTCCTCTTCTTACTCCCCCAGGTGAGGTTCGACCTCTGCACAACTACTGGTGCCTGGCACGCATGCCGTTGCGCTCCGTATATTTGCGCACCTACATTGCATGCATTTCGAAGAAACCATCTCCTAGACATCAGAGCCCGATATTGTTTGGTGGCACATTAAAATCAGCCTGGTTGCTGTTATGCCGGTTACGGCATCACTTTTTTCCGTAGTCAGGACCTGACAAGGAATATATTCCCACTCCTCCCAAGATCTCACATAACATGACATACCGGTAGCACGAACTTGACAACTCGAGACAATGCCCTTCCCACCGTTCCCCATCATCAGCACCACACACCATCCCCTCCCAACCCACTCTTACCCGGGGGCGGGAAACGGTCTCGCACACCGGCAAAAAAAAAAATTGTTATAGAGCACATATCGGCAGACGACAGCCGCCTCTTTTCTTATTCTTTTGCCTCCGCAAAAAGCAAGATCAAAAAGTATTGGGGAAACACCGGTGTCGGGAAGGGAAAAAGGAAAAGAAAAAAGAAAAATAGAGTTGCATCCTGTTCGTGCACACCTCCATCATCGAGATGGATGGATGTCCGCACACATGCCCGGCCAACGTAGACCAAGAAGGTAAGCAAGTCCGACCCAAACCACACTAAAACCACATCCTAGCTATCAACGAGAGGGATGTAGCCGCAAGGGAAGGAAGGGGGAAAAAACTCAAAAAATAGCTGCCAAATCAAGCGAAATGAGGGGCATGATTAAAAGAGAAAGAAAAGGACAACCCGATCAATCCCCAGGTATAGTGTGGCCAGACAGGATGCAGCTGAAGTCTGATACAGTAACGGTAACACGCGGCACAAAAACTCCAGGTCTCATAATTCCCCGCATCAACTCCACCACAACCGCCGCGAAAAGACCAGCCGGCGGGGTGAGGCGGGTGGGTGGGTATAGTACTCTAGTACAGTACGCACGAATCTCTAGCAGCTAGCAGGCGAGTAATACTGTATCTATTGAAGATCTCACACCACGACACGGTTACCATACCGCTACCACAGTACTTGTACGAGTACTGTACTCTGTACAAGTAGGCTTTTGGCGCCCTCGGGAGCCGCATCCACAACCAAAGCTACCAGTTTATGATCCTACTCGAGTGCCGTACTCCTACCATAACTTCCCACACTCTCACTACCCGGAAAATCATCTTCTCCAGCTAAACCGCCCCTTCTCCCGCAGCGGTATCTCCACCGGGCGCTTAACCAAGACACTCAATAAAATGGAAATGAAAAAAGGGCTAAAACTTCAACTTAGTCTACCCCCTAATCACGGTCTCGGTCCGTTGTCGGTGGCGCGGGAGAGAAAAATATCGTGAGGTTCAACAACCGCCACCGGTAATCTCGCCACGAGCAGTCCTAGCGCGGGTCACATCTGTGACGGGATTTCCGGTACGGTAGTTACTTGAGTACAGTACTCGAGCTCTGAAACCCTAGCCAAGTGCAAAAAAGAAAAGAAAATACCCCCATTCCTGTAGCCCGTCGCAGGGGTAATCAAGCCACCCGGCCGGTTGAATGAGTAGTGCGGAGAAAATTTTTTCCTTACCGGGTTGCGATGATTGGTGTGACGACACGCACTCGAGTAACTCAAGTATGACAACCTCAACTGGGGTGCTTGACTTACAATTATTATCGTAAGCTTGCCGGCTCTCCCCACTGATCAGAGGCTAGGGCCCGCGGTGTGAGTTACTGGTGTGCGGTGCTGCCTCACCCCGCTTAGAGGGTTTATAATTATTTACGATTTGCTAAGGGGATTATATTTTTTATCTACTGTGATGGTGAAGCGAATCCCCTCGTCGGATATCAAATGTCACAGCTTTGAAGAGCGAAGAGCACAGGAAGATTCCGAAGAAGGGTTGCGGGGGAGAGGGTTTGGGAGAGAAAGGAGTATCGTATCATCCGGTCCTGGTGCACAGGGGTATCACATAACTTACAGGCTACAAGAGTGGTTTAAATTTTACGACTTCCAGGGAGTTTGTCAAGAACCCAGGCGCGTTTCATTCTCTATCGTATCGCCCTGGCTAGCGCAAGGCCGCGAAATCCAAGGAGGGGACACTCGTGCCGGCCCCTCGTTTTACTAACGTGGCCGGGCTGAAGTCGGGCACTTTTCATGAGAATCGCGACCTCGGAGCCCAACCCCAAAGAGGTCGCACGAGCATGTATAGTGCTGTTGCTATTGTTCGGGTTTCTTGGTTTATAAGAATTAGAGAGTTGGTTGCGTATCGTGCTACCGGCATAGGGATTCCGATTCGCCGTGAGTTATTATGCTAAGCACAGATGGAGGATGGAGATACGGTAGCACCCTGGGTGACATCCAAGATTTCCCCACTCTTTTACCTCTCCCTCCACTCTCTCCACTCCCTCCACGTTCTCCACTTTCCACCCGTCCCTACCCCCTACCCTCTCTCACTCCCAGACTACCAATCTTGGCTCTCACGATGCCCAGATTCCCCCACAGTCCGCCGCGCCGTATCCGAATTTCTCTTCAATCCTAAACTACTGGTATTGGCAGTCCCAACAACCAAGATCGCAACTGCAAACGAAAACTCCTTAGCCAAATGAGGCGACTTGAAAAGGGTCGCTTATCCTCACCACGAACGGCCACCCCATGACCGCCCTGTGTACCCTCATGTTCTGTCCGTCTCACGCCCCCTAGAGCCCTAAGAAACCGGGTTCGGATCACGAATTACAGCTCTCGTTTTCCCCTTTCCGTAATTTCAGCTACGGTAGGATACCTCCAGCACATTCTCCAGATCCCTTCCTTCTCACTGTGGGCGGAGATAACCTGGATCAGTATTTTACGCCGTGCGAGCGTAGGTGCTGTCCGGGGGGACCCGGGACTAATTTCTCGGGGTGGGGGGATGGAGAACGGCGTTAATCGTTGGGTACTCTACCGGTATCTAGTCTACGAGGCGGGGCGACACGGGGATGCAAGCGATACCATTAGACTTCCCTAAAGTCGGGCTACATTATTTTATGTGAAGGGCTAGGCAAATTATCGTTCATGTCGTGCGTGCTATCCTACAAGTATAGTAGATTGCATTATGATATGTATTGCCGTCTAAGCAATGCGTGGGAAGCTCTTGGCTAGATCTAGATCTAGTGGTTTGGACCAGCGGCACTGTTCCGTGCAGTACTTAAATTAAGGCATTCTGTCAGAGGGCAAAGTGGAGAGTGACCGGCGGTACTGTACGGTAGTTCCTTCAACGCAAGCCATAGGGGTCTGCGCCTTTTTTTTTTCTTTTCACCCCCGGGTACCTCGCCGCTCCCTTCGGCGTGGTCCGCTAATGGGGGAGAGCGTGCGCGTTATCTACCTAGGGGCGCTCTACTGAGTCTACTCATGCCACCAGTTCGAACCTGCTCCCCTTCCGGTGGTGACAAAAAAACGCAACTTCGATTCGGGGAAGTGTGTACTAGTATAGCATATGGCAGTAGACAGCCCCACACGCAGTCACCTGTAAGGAATACCAGGTCGCCTCCTCTTCTAAAGCATCGCCTTACCGCCGACGGCTCAAATGGTCTCTTCTAATGTTTATGGTTTCTTTCCTCCAGCTTAATAATTCTTCCGCTCCAGGTATCACAATCCCTAGACCACCTAACCACACTCTAAAATAGAAACCCGCCATAGACCGAATTCCATAACATGAAAGAAGCATTGCTGCATGTTCCTCCATCCTTTAACACATACCCCTAGCTAGCCAGGAGGATAATCCAAATCCCAAATATGCCCTATAGTGGGATAACTTCCCTCACCTCCCTCCCCCCCAATCTTGCCTCTTCCCCCACTCCCTCCTCCCTGTCCCCCGCTACACCGCCGACGATCAGGGAGTAACCCGGCCCGAGTATCCGGGAAACGCACACCCACTCAGCGCACATAAAGTACAGTATCCTACACACGTGAACCCGGCACCAAAAAAAAGAATAGATAAATTGAGAAACGAATACCATATCTAGCAAGTATCCATCGTTAGAAAGGTATGCGCAGCGTAAGTGTGCGGATTGCTGCAGCCAAGCGCAGATATATGGAGCATGGAGCATCTCATCTGTACCGTTACCGTAAGATCACAAGCAGAGGCCAAGAGGGTTCCGACCCGTTTGACGTTGCGTTGCTCTGCAGAAATTGAGAAGAATTGTTATATATTTCACTCGCTCCTCCCATCTCTCCCTCACCCCCAGAATTTCGCACGCCAGGTTCCTTCAACGCTCACGCAGCCTACGAGTCGAGGGTGGAAGGTACTCATAAGATATCACTCGGAGGCTGGAAAACTTCTCTGTCTTTGGCTTTGTGGTTGCTGGTGGGATGGTTGCTAACGTGCCGGCGCGGTACGATGCTATGCCATTACTCGCAGGACCCACAAGCAGCAACCGACACCCTCACCATCCACCATCCTTCGTCGCAATCAGCTCTCCAATCGCCATTGTAACCGGCAGCACCTCCACTCAGCCGCCAAGCCACTCTGCGGGCAGCAAGGCTAACTATGAAAGGTTAGATGTCCTAACTAGCCTACCATAACGCGACGACCACCAGCTGGTACTGTAACCCTCGCGACACCGTGATGCGACGAAAAGTCACCATGACGTCTCTCAACCCTCGTCTCGACCTTCCCTCGCTCACTCGCTCACACATCGTGACCCACACCGGTGTCGCGAGGATTACTCGTACCCTCCTATCACACCATTACATCTACAATTCAAGATTCGCGATTCGAAAGCTATGACCAGCTCGCTTCGTCACTCGGGTATTTCCTTTTTCCTTTTTTGTTTTCACGAAAATATCTAGTTTCGGGCGTCACAGATGGATCGTGGTTCTGCGGACCAAGTCAATCTAGGCACCGGCACGCGCGATGGCATAGCCGAGGGACCGGAGGCAGATTTCGCGCGGTACCGTACCGGTAGCATACCGGTGAGGTTCCCAAAATGGGTTAGGGTTTTGATGGTGTGTTGTGCCTGGCACGGAGCGGAGCGGAGTGGGGTCGCTATCAAGGCCACTGTTGATATGATATCATAACGTACTGACGATGCACGCACCGTGTCCCTTGTCGGGTCGCTTACTGACTGATTGGCTGGCCGGCTTGCTTTCGATGTTCGTTTTCTGCTCGCTCTGGTCGGCTGGCCGGCCGACCGACCAGGAGGGCAAGGGTGGAGATGGAGGGGGGGTGGATTTGTGGCGCCCGACGTTATCCTGATAGGGAATTTTTACTCTCCTCGTGCAGTAGTGCGGGAGTAAACGAACGAGAGGATACAAATGAGAAACAGGCTCCGGGAGGGGGGCATTTGAGCACGCATGGTTTGTGTGTTTTGCAGAAGTAAGCTTCATGCGACCATGAGTATCTTTCGCCGCCAGATACCGTAGAGCATTTCCGGAGAACTCCACTAAAGATAGAAGGTATCTAGGATGCGCCGAGAAGCTCTGACAGCAGCAGCACCTCCCCCTCCCCCCCGCCACTAACTCGGTCATTTCGTCTCTCTCGTCCTGGTGCCTTCCACCTACCCGACCTTATGATGCAGCAAAACAGTAGAAACCCACCATTATCCCAGCTTACCAGTTTCCCTTCTCGACCACTCACTCCGTACACTACTCGGGTAAAGTCTTGTCGGGTGCTATGTTGCGTTGGCAGCTATGGCGGGAACCTGGTACGCCAATGGGGTGGATTTTAGTGCAAGAGGGTATCGACGTCTATACCTGGGCTCAAACACACTGGATCTGCGTGCCCGAATTCCCGACAATAGCACTCGACACGACTTTACACAGCTAGAGAATAAAAAAGAGTAACCGGTTAATCAGCGAAGCCATGCTAAGGCGGTCGTGACTTGAACAATCATATTACTAGAAAGCACTGACACCAAGTTCTGAGGATGTGCGCAAGTGCTTTGCGGCCCAACTTTACAGTGTCTTAAGTAAGACAAGTAAGACGGTCCTAGCCGGCCTTCGATTGCGGAATCTTGATACTCGAGTGCAGGTGCAGTTTGCACTAACGTTAAGGGCAGAATTAAAACCAACACCAAGCTCTGATCTGCTTGCCAGAACCTCAGTGCTCTGACCTTACTGCAAAATACTCAACACTGGTCCTAGAGTACTCGAGCACAAGTAACCCTCCACAAGATGACCACAGTCCAAATTCACAACCGTCTTAAAAAAAAAAAAAACTCTTCCTACCAGTGATCAGGCACCACCGGTATTTCTTCCATTCTAGAAACCGAAATTCTGAGCCGGCACCCCCTCCCCTGTGGACAAAAAAAAGTGCAAAACGACTATTGCCATGTGCCCCACTCTCCCCCTCCTCCCCACGCAATCCTACTCATGCGTTCGCGCCCGACCTCCCATACCCGGCGAGCTTCCCGTTTAGTGCTGCCGAGTTATCGTGCAGCATACTCTATGACACCTACCCGTACTGTACCTACCTATATCACAGCGGGGTATGGTCGGTATCGCAACCTCCGTGATCGCCGTTCTTACCCTCCAAGTTTTTCTTTTTCCTTACAATTATTATTATTACTATTATTATTATTGCCTCCCTACGAGTACATCCCTTCTTACAGTTTTCCGTAGCTCACGGTGTCGGAGGGTTGGGTGGGAATTTGGGAGGGAGAAGCGGGGGGAGGTGAACGTTTCTGTTCCTAGCATAGTATTGTACTCTACTGTACTTGTACGACGTGGTATTGGGATTTTATTCGCTCCCATCGGGATCCACGGAGACCGTGGAAGCCCGAATAACGGGATTTAGCGCCGTGTCGTTGGAGTTGCCCCCTCCGGTAAGGTTTGATTGATTGTTTTTGTTTTTTCTCTTGCCTTCTCGGAGAAGCTGTGATGCAGGCTCTTTACCGTTTTTGTTTTTTTTTCGCCACTGTTCAAGGGTAGGGGATTTTCGGCTACATACCGGTACCGGTATGTAGCACATGGTCCCATCAGACCACCGGTAGTCTACTCAAGTCTCTGAGGTGGGCGGATTTACAGGAGTTGCGTTTTTGGTTTTTGGATCGGACTTGGGATGAGATGAGATCTGCAGCGTCATGCTCGTACTATACCATATCTACCGCAATTTACCTACCGTAGGTCCCTTGAGCTCTTTTTCCACGTTCATCCATCCCCAGATACATCCATACCGTAGTCAATCACCTTAACTCGACGGCAGCAAAACCATCCTTCCCGTCACGTACAAATCCAGTTATCGTTGCCAAAACTCTTTCCCCCGCTGTTGTTTTTTGTTTTTTTTTCCCCCTCCGGTCCTACCGAAATCAATCCATCAAGCTTTCTGCAAAGTTACGTAACCACGACACTCCCGTATCGCCCTTCGCTTACCGTAAGCCGAGACCTGGGGTACATATGACACGCGGTGCCGGAACAAAATTGCGAGTGTTTTCACGGCCGGTCGGTCGGGCAAAGCTTGATTACTCTGGGCCTTGAAGTCAAGCGATTGGCTCGCACCGAGGTCTAGGCACTGGCGCGTTCGGATGGATGGATGGATGGATGGATGGATGATGCGAGAAAGCATCTCGTGTCACTCGATCGGACTGCTCGAGTGGGTGGCGCGCAGTTCTTGTTTCTTCTTCGAGCCAAAGTGGAAGCCTGGGCCGTTGCTTTGGGAGGTCTCGTTCCTTTTTCTCTTTTCATGCTTTTTTTTCCTCTGCTAAGGATTGCTTTTGCGACGCGGAGAATCGGGATTGAACCGCGTTCTTTTTTTCCATTTCCCATTTTTCTATCAGGGATCATACTGTGGAAGGTGGTTGTCGGTAGGGATTTCAGTACGGCGCGTGATGAATCGGCTTTTGGTACTTGTACCAGTGTGTATCTGGTACACGTGGGCTACCTGTGATGCTATGGTACTGTACTGTGCTTGGGGATCACGATGCAAGTTGGCGGAGTTGTGACTGAGCGGTCGGGTGACTTTCTACCGTGCTATACTCAATTTCTCGAGACTACCGTGGCCTCGACAACTACAGAACACTGTGGCCAAAAGCCTAACTATATACCAGTGGTTCGGATCCATAAGCAATACAGTACTCTATTCTGCGATAGCGGCCTACTGGAAAGCCTGATAATACAAGTACGAGAGGACAAGCCGTCCATCAGTCCTGGTTGTACGCTCCTTCCAGAGAACGATACAAGCGGTCCCGAAAGCTGTGGTAGGAATCGTGCGAAATGCGGGTATTTGTGGACAGGGGAAACAGGGGGCAATCACACCACTTAGCCTATATCGCGGTGAAATGGAAAGAATTGAAATAGTCGTGATGGGAAACTGCCGCATCGTCATTAATAACGGCCCTCCCCCAAAACGCAGTCCTGTGAAAGCAAACGGTTCATAGCCTTGTCCCGCAAAGTGGTGTTAATAATTCGCTGCAATGTCAGATATCCAGGCGAGCACGCTTTTCTCCGCGAAGGGTTTGGTGGCCGTGGTCACCGGTGGGGGAACAGGTACGTCGAGCGGTAAAACGCAACGTGCGGTATCATCTCGATATTTAGCATTCCTACAATGAACTACGACTGAGGAATGGATCAACTTGGTGTTAGGAATCGGCTTGATGATCGCAACCGCCCTGGAACATAACGGTGCGACAAAGGTCTATATCGTCGGCCGCCGCAAAGAGGTTTTGGAAAACGCGGCGAGAGTGCATTCTGTACTTATTTCCACCCCCGTATCATAAGCACAAACTCTGACATGGCGGCACGGGGTTTTTAGAAACACGGCAATATTATCCCCATCGTGGGAGAAGTCACTTCTAAAGAATCGCTTGAAGCCATCGTCAAGACCGTCGAGAGTGAGGTCGGCTATGTCAACTTGCTCGTTAACAATGCCGGCATGTGCGGCAGAAGACACAACGTCCTTCCCGCCCCACCAGGGCTGGTGAGTCGCCCTGGTGCAGCGGAGCAGTACAAAAACATAGAGGACGTGCAGAAGTTTTTGTGGGAGGATTCCATGGAGGAGTGGGAGGGTACCTTTAGGGGTATGTCTGCTTGTGACTCCCCTTGGGGCCGGGGATCTTTTGTATGGCTACTGACGCAAAGGAGCAAGACAACAGTCAATGTCACTGGCGCCTGGTTCGCGAGCGTCGCGTTCTTGAGATTGCTAGACCAAGGGAATAAACGTGGGGTCGTGGAGCAGTCTAGTCAGGTACTGTGCCGCTCTCCCTTTATCTTTCCCTCGACCGCAATACCAGATCTTCACAGGGCTAGTCTTCTTACTTCCAGCAGATCATAACCATTACTTCAATCGCTAGCTTCCTAAGAAACTTAGGAACTTGCTTCTCCTATAACGCCAGTAAAGCCGCGATCACACAGGTAGCCAAAATGCTCGCGACTCATTTCCCACAATATGGAATTCGCTGCGTATTACCCCTCACACTCCTTCAGTCTGTCTTTGGGCCCAGGCTGACCTGCAACGAAAGAACATGATTGCTCCAGGGTGTATGCTCCCCCATTCCCGAACCATATCAAGCGAAAAGCCCGTCTAGATAGGAAAACCGCTAACTGTCTGACTTCAGTATTCCCCTCAGAGCTGACTGCGGGGTCTGGAAAAATGGATTCGGGTAATAAGAATCAACTAGATGCCTTCCCGGCGGAACGGATCCCGTTGAAAAGGCCAGGGAGCGACGAGGATATGGCAGGGGCGATATTGTACCTGGCCGGGAGAGCCGGAGCATACGTGAATGGAAACGTGATGGTTGTTGATGGAGGCAGGATGTCGGTTTTGCCGGCGACATACTAGTCTAGTAGATTAACAGGCGCCAGATTCCTAGCTTTGTATGGGCAGATAGTGGCAATTGTCATAGATTGTCTCACTACTTAGCAATCGGAAGAGTGAAGGATTTCTGCCGATCATTGGATTACGAAATAGTACTACAAAGAGCTGACGTTATCAGCCTGTATAGGCAGTCTAAACCATCCTAGAAAAATATATATAAAAAAAACGCAACCCGACGTTCCAGTATATCCGGGCAGGGCATACAGGCCCGACTCAAACCACAATAAAGAGTGGGCACCCTTAATTATCATCCATAAACTACTATTGAAAGGGTTAATATTCCCATTCCATTCAACTCCCCCCAACAATCTATAAGCAAGCTATACCCGGCCATTGTGCAGAAGCGCTCAATCCAGCACAGAAAGCTCACAAGCAGCTCTTCACAGCAGGAGCTATACACGCTCTAATATCCATCATTAGACCGCTGGTATAGTGATGTCCGAGCGATTAAGTATGCTCTCTATATAAGGCCTGAACATCGCAAGACCTCACCCGTTGGAGGCCGTGTAGACCGACGCGGGGGGGTGGACAGGTCTAGCCGGGGCCATTGGCGGATCCATGTGAAAAGCACTTGGTTGTAAGGACCTACATGACATCGCGCAATAGCGAAATACTAATAGCATAACTCTCCGGGACCCCATGTCCCTCCACGGTAGTTATCGAGAGTGGTTATATACAGAGCGCAGATAGACTGGATTCGAGAGAGGGGAGAAGGTTCGAGAAGAAGATGAGATCCGTGGGTGTCGATCGGATCGGGAAAATGAAGAAAGTGTGGGTCGGGAGTTGGGGATGTAGGCTATCATCATGAATAGTCACTCGGAATGTTGAACCCCTCGGGCTGCGGTTCGATGCTTACTAGAGAACTTTGCCCTTTCGATCATGTTTTCCGTTTCCCTGGCTTTTATTTTTCTCTTAGAATTACTACAGCTTCCATCATCCGCTCTCCTGCTTCTCTTTCTGGCCCGACTGTTGTTCCGCTTAATTTCCCTCCTTTATAGAATCCTTCCGCAGCTTGCGACTAGCTAGAACAGAAGGAATTGGATAGGAAAAGTCGTAAAATCATTATTTTTCTCCTAGGGCTCGGTGCTGGGCATTGGTAATTAGTTCCCGACAAACCCCCGCGCAAACAGTAGAACATTGTCAGAATACGGTGGGTGAAGCCTGCTCCGAGAGCACCCGCCTCGAGTTAAGCGTCTCCCTCCGCGATACTAGGATATCCACGATCCTCCGAGGGTAGTCCATTATGGCCAAATTTATATCTCCTGTTATATGTCTATGTGAACTCTCGAGTCTGAAGGAGTCATACCACCTCCAAGCCCTTCAAGTGACTACACTGGGCTGCCCAACCTTGAAGAATTCAGCCTTACATATCCCCCATGTCTTCTTAGGGTGAATTGCTATCCTCTAATAGGGACTCCGGCGCAATTCCGCTCCTAAAATCGCCGCGGCAAGGCGCAACGGTGTGTGCCCACCTAAGCTGGAGGTATCCACAACAACCCCTCTGCGGGATGCCAGCTTTCTCGAAACCTCATCAAGGGGACTGGAGTGCGGAATGGAGCGGGGAATATCCCGGGGTCTCACGCTCAGGGCAAGGGAAGTTAACCCAGATGCACAAGTCACCAAGTAGCTCTTTCACACACGGACACGAATTATTACATCACACTGCCTGTGAAAAAAGCCTCCCCATGTTAACGTCGATGTTCTGATCTAGCGGTAGCCCAGGAATTACCTTTTTGTGCCCACCCCATATCCTCTAACCCGCCGCGCGTTGATGTTCACTTTGACCAAAGTACCCGCACTATTACCAAGTTTCTAACACGCGTCATCAACTCTATGTGTCTCCCCCGAATCACAGCAGTAATGGCATGCCCATTGTACAAACTCTTTGTGTGTTGACAGAACTATTAAAGGGCGAGTTGTTAGTCGTGAGTGGCGGGGTGTTCGGGGGGAGTAGGCATAATACTTTACCCGTGCCATGTCCTTAAGTTGGGCCACAGAGCAGACGGCTCGGAGGCCGTGGAGTTCAGAGTTGGTGTGGAAGGTGCATTTTACCAAGGTGCGCATTAAGAGATCGCCGCGAATCCGCGGTTTGTGGGCGCAGATGGGGGGTTGGGGCCGGTAGCTCGATACCCAGGGCTTAAGGAAATCCTGGGAAGAGGACCTGGGCCGGTAAGCCCTCGAGTGACTTACTGAGTTCGGGACATGGTTGTAGATTATGTGGAGACGGGTCCATCGGGGCCTGTCGGGGGTGCCCGGATCGGCTGTTAATGGCATGACATCACAATCCCCTTCCCGTATCATGAGATATAGTTCGTTAGTTGTTCTAGTGTTACCCTATTTATAGCGCGGGCATGTTTGCCGCCCGACCGGCTATTTCTTCCGGGTTAATCCATTAGGCTATACCTTCGTGACCTTTATTTTTGAGGGCACGAAGGGGGCGGGTTGAAGTATTCGGTTATATCCGCTCCCAAGTCCAGAAGACCTAAAATCCCTAGGTGTTTATTTAAATTCGGACAATTTCATTCCCGAATGGTCGGGTTAGGGTACGGGGGCCGGGGTGTGAGGGTTTGGAGGGGGCATTTATGCCTAAGTATAATTTTGAGGTCTACTCGTAGGTGTTTGTGTATGGATGTCAAGGTTTCATCGACAGTTGTGCCATCTGGCACCCGCGACAGGGCTTGAATGTTACCGTCCAGGGCAATAATACAAGCAGTGGGACCTTTGTTGCGGATATTCATTTGACGGTCTCTGGAGCCGCACCCGCTGTGAGTGGTATGTTCCAGTTTAGAAGACAAGGTTGTCTTTAATTGCATAGACCGCGGGCGCGGCCAGCACACGAGCACCACAAACGCAGGACCCCGAAACGGAAAAGGCGGGCAGTACGGCCCAATGCGCCCCCTAGGATCCCACGTCGTATTCGAAACGGTCTAGCATCATATCCCTTCTACAGTACAAGTACCAGGGTGTGGGTGCCGGGGTGGACTGCCGATACTGAGTGACTTTTTTCCCGACGGCGGATAACTCGCCGCCGGTTCAGACACTCGATGTGTTTCCGGGGTATGCGAGGTCGATGTGTGCCCACCCAGATGCTAAGTTACCCTTTCTACCTCGAGAACTCCGGTTGGATTGCAAGATAACTCAGTGACAAACAGCCCTTTTATGAACAACTGGGTTTGCCGAAGCACTCTCAGTGCCGCACACACCACCCAGGGGTGGGCAGAAAACCCTATCCGACGTTCCCGTACTGCCGTGTTCCTTCCCGAGCCCAGCATGTGGCGGAGAACTCCGAGATAGGATTGCAAGGGGTTTTGTTAGCTGCTGAGCAGTTTTTTCTTTCAAAACGCTAGCTCACCGCGGAGATAGAGCGAATATAGCATTTCTAGTCGGGCTGGGAGGGGAGGGTAAGGATAACGGAAATTGAGGATAAAGATGGAAAGGACGGAGGAACAGAGGTTCTTCTGTTGTCTCGGGAGTATGCGGCTGTAATTATGGTAAGTGATTCTGTGTTCCAGAGATCTGAAACAGAGCTGCAGACGTACAGTAGAGGGATACTCTAGTTCCTTGGCAGAGACCCATACCGTACTTCTGAAATATACGGTGTCTGAGACGGTACCATGGATCGAATACAATGCCACTTCGTTTATTGGGGGCTTGGAGATAAGCCGGGTCTTAGCCCAGGGGGGGATAACATGTTAGCTGTAGAGTCTCCGGAGGATACCCCAGCTTCTCCTGTAAAATCCATAACTTCTCCACCAGGTCAGCAACTCCGGGCCCAGAGCCGGAGGCCCTGCTTATGCCCTTTAAAGGAGCATCGCGAGTGAGGAGTATTCCGACTCCTGCATTTGCAATTTGCAGAATCTTTCAAGGTGCGATATGAGTCTACTTACTACACGACCGCAATTCCTCCTGGAATAGCACGCAACACCAACGACCCACCTTCCAAAGCGTGGAAGCCCCTGCGCTTGGGTAGGGTAGCCCACCCAGCCGATATGGTGTTCTGTCCAGGCAATCTCACTTGATCAATATAAGCCGTATCGGCCGAGTGACGCCCTATGAAATTAGGAAGAAAAAAAGAGCATAAGTCCAAAAGGTCTTATTGTCATCCCATGGAGACTTGAATTTTTGCCCAACCTTCCCTTGTCTCTCCAGAGAAGGGGATTTCTTGCTGCATAGCACATGGCTAAATCATCCAAGTCTCTCCGATAACGAAATTTGCCTCAATAGGCTAAACTCATGAGCCATTAAAAAAAAAAACCCCCCACACACACTATGACCGTATACTGTAATACCTGCCTTTTTGAAAGAAAAGGCAGCAATACACTACAATACACACCCCATCCACCCATCTCATCTTGTGCGCACGGTACCACTCCCACCAATCCACCCCGTCCCAACCACCTTCAATCGGCCAGCCCAAATCCGTATAGCATCACCTCACCCTGCATGTGCAGAGGGCCTCCAGAAAATCCAACCACTCCCCACTTCAAAATCCCCAATATCTGAAGAAAAAAAATGTTCGATGAGTCAATATGCCGGAATTTTTACTTTGTTCTAGGTGCCTTGGTAGGTAGCGTGATATGAGGAGTGAATAGACCTCTTATCTAGTTTTTACAATGACTCCCGGGATCCGATACTGTGAAGAGAGTTGGGATTAAGGAGGGCCAAGTCCACCAGTAGGAAGGGTATCGAGAAAAGGAGGCGATTATGGCAAGATCCTTCTCAAAATATAAAGAAAAAGGACGAATTGGCGGAGATAGGGGCAGAATACCTATCCCTTCGAACCAAACGCGCTATTATGAACCAGTCGATAGCCCTTCGCAAAGAAAGTTGCTAATCCCGATTCAAAGAGAAGGCGAAATGTTCTCGAGAGCAACCATCCCACCTTGCCGAGTGAGTATCTTTTTCTCCTTCTTATCCCCCACTCCTAATTCTCCCACTCAGCACTAATGAAATTGAAACGATATACATCGAACAATGCCGATATAATGAATCCCGTTCGGGCCCCGGTGTCAAAGACCGAGTTACAGAGAATCTAAGCTAGCAATTGGATTTGCTCATACGATGTTATGAGGCAAACGCTCACACCCTCTAAAGGCAATAAAGAAGTTAAATCCTGCCCCTCCTGGGGATACAGCGCGACAGAGCGCGGTCCAGGCGGCGAGATCAGATCAACGGGCTGAAGTATGACCCTCTAAACGCGGGAAGCACTACTGAGAGGTGGCGGGTAGATGGTATTATAGTAACGGGAACACTACTGGGGAGACGGTGAGACACGGCCTTGGCCACAACACCACCATCTCCCTTCACATATCCCAGCGGTATCCGATCCCCCTCCAGCGGACCCAACAGACCCATCAGCGGCTCCACATCCTCCCTAAAACCCACCAATGGATCGCAATCCTTCACAAAAAATCGTTCCTATATATCCTACCCAACGCTCAATCGCACCCAATACGAGAAACTCGAATAATCAGACAATCTGCTATGTCGTTGGAGTTGCCTCCCCTGGTATAGTCTTGGTTTTTTTCTTTTTTATGGCTTGGAGGGGCTGAGCTGCTCATCTTTTGCTACGCTTGTTGCCCCTTTTCCAACGTAGGGAATTTTCCACGACATAGCACATTATCCAATTATTCCAGTTTCCACAGCAGTAGCCTCTACACTCTACTTCCCTGTAGCTTCATACCTAAAAGTGGGCGAACAGGAACACTATTTTCCTGTATCTTAACAGGCCCAGGTATAAGTTCCAATGGGGGAGTTCAGGGTTGAGAACCCGCAGGTCCCCGTATCGCAACCACGGCATTCGGCACGACTGGCAGTGGACGCAGGTCCAAATGCCAGGCTATAGCGAACAGCATGAAGATAGGGCGAGAACAGCCGAGTATTTGCAGCCTTTGTCGGCGGGTAGGGGGGTGGGGGCAGCCGGAGATGAGGGTCGAGACAAAGAGGGGTGGACAGATGTCTATTCACAGAACGTCTCCCACCAAAGAACGGGACGGAGGAGGGAAAGGGAGGCAAGTCTTTCAAAAGGTCTCTTTGTTGAATCAGTTTTGTTAAGACGATACTAGGTGGGTATCAATTCTTCGGCTGAAATCACCCCTTCTCACTCGCTCGAGAATCTCAATGAGCTTTGAGACATAATAATCCCCTCCTAACCCCAGCCGATGCTCTCTGGGGACCTAAGGGCCTCTTTCGCACGCCAGGATTTGTACTCAAATTCCGGATTATGTTTGGCAGGCCAGGCCTTGGACTAGATTTTCATCCTAAGATTAGAGCAGAATTTTAAATCAGAATTTTCTCTAAAAAAAAAAACCAAGTCACAGAGGACGAAGTTCAAAAGGTATCAGTCCTAACTACTTTCTCAGCCCGTAAGCACAAACAAAGCATATGGCTAGATCCCGCCTCTATTATTTACATCAAATACACAAGTTCTCCATAGTCCTAATCTAAACCCTGTCGTGTTTGGTATGGCCAGTTTCAAAGTCCGGAATTTAGAGATTCTGAACTTTGGTTTTCAAGTCCAGACTTTAAGTCCAGTCCGAAGCTCAGTCTAATCCTGGCGTGCCAAACAGGCGCTAAGATCACAGTGAAAACACGCTGCCTCGGTATCTCATACTCCACCCCTCCCGAAGCCACGGCCACTCCCCGAATCCGGCAGCCCCCTAGAAGCTCCCAGCAACATGTCTCGCTGCATGAAAACCATCAATTCCCCCCCCGCCAAGTAACCCTAATCTAACAAAACACGGCCATACTCCATAAATTAGTTCTCTTTACACAAGGAATACCCCCCTTTGGGATAGAACAGGTATATCATTGACCTGCGCCCAATGTAAGCCACACATCATCGAGACACCAAAAAGTAGATACTTCATACAGCATGAAACCCCATCCAAGCGCGAGTATATCAAACCAGATTAGAATATCTCTTCACACATGTCGAGGCTTCCTTTCGTCTCAGTCCTTCTGCGCAAACATAAAATAGCTACTTTAAATTGCTGATATTGGTTTTCCCTGAAGCCCACATCCCGATTACATGGTAGATGGACGCGGCAGAGAGGTGTGCATACCCGAGGAGGGGAAGACCAAACCTGGGCTGATGCGCTTGAGGTGAGTGGACCTCCGCCCCATCCACTAGAAGATCCCCCTGTTGCCATAATGACGAGAAGCTAGCGTTGTCGACGGCTGCACAAATCCAAACTTGGTACCGGCACACAGAACACATGGTACATGTGTCGTCGTCATACTAGGGGGCCTCACACCAGAATGGTGGGTGGAATGATAGAATTGTTAAACCCACATCTAAGGCCTCAACGGCAGAGATCAGGAACATAACGTAGGAGCATCTCCGTTGGGGTGATGGTCTTATGAATCCTTAATTCGCTACTAGTCTATGTGCCTCAGGGGAGGTTCTGCTCGCCCCGCTGCATTTACCACCACTCTGCTACAAGCAGAGTTCATTATTGGCTTTTGCACCATGGCGGGGAGACGGAATATTCCGAGTTATCCTATGCCGTCCAGTTTTCAGAGTGATGGGCTGTTTAGTGGTGCGGATGTGGGTGATGGGGATGAGGGTGCAGTGGTGGATGGTGAGTTGTGTCTGTCAAGCAAGTAGTGAGGTTTTTGAATTTATTCCCGGATCTAGTGTTTCCAGTGGGTGATCTGGTGTTGATATATGTTGTGATCCCATGTGGGATTGAGCAGTGAGCAGATAGACAGGAGGAATAACGATTTCTTTCTTTCTTGGGTTTCTGGGGCTTGTATACGGGTTGGTTTCTCCCAGACGCATATGTCGTATCAAGAAGGAAGGGAAGAGAATAATTGATTAAATATTTTCTACTAGGACATGCTGAACAGGTCGTAGAAAAACAATAGATGTGAAAACTTCTAGACAATTATTCCGCTTTGTCTCCACGACGACCCTAAATCAAGGGATTTGTTCCCTACTTGGACCAGATAGAAGTCAGCAGCGTAGACTAGTCTGTGATCTGCCCATCGCCCTAGTGCATATTCATGATGATTGATGGGAGTGTTTACCAATCTAATATCAAACCCACCAGCATCCACCCTCCATCCGCTAAAAGTTCGCCCACAGATATAGAGAAAGCCTATGCGTGGTACCGTAGCCTGATCAGCAGCATGTGACCACTCAACCCACTCCAGCAGATTCTCGCGATGCTCATATATCTCCAACAACCCGGACACAAACCATCGCCACAGAAGTATCCCTATAGGTTAGTCGTAGAGCAACAAAGCCCCAACAAAGCCCCAACGAGGCACACCGTCTTCAGGAACTCTCCCCAAGAAATATCTATCATGGCTCTTAGTCGCGGATCTACGCGAAGCCGAATACCGGTACATGGCAAGCCCACCACGAACCCAGATACCGCCATCCCAATACCCCTGATTCGTGATCCTCTCCTTGACAGTACTAGTTTACTAATCAAAGTTGACTGTATGCACAGTGGACCAATTGCCACGTACGTGATGCTTAAGCAGGGCCTCTGCGCAGCGGGCGGCAATGGTGGAAAGCGCCAAGCTACCCGTTCTTAATGCTACGCGAAACAAGATGTCCGGTCTATTCCGTAGAATAAGCATCTCGAAAGAGAATCCCAATTCCCGGGAAACACTAAGCATATTATCAATGGTAGCAGGTAATCTTCTGTTTTGCCGTCAAATACATATCCCCAGTTGTACACCCACCCTGTGCGACAGATTGCACCGCCCTGTTGATCATATCTCGACCCCAGGTTTTTTTCAGACGTGATTAGCATTCCGAAGCTTGTTGTCACCTGCCAGCTCGTGCGCCTGAAATGAAGGTTGTACCGCGAAACCGGGACCACGCGAACCCGCCCCCGACGCCGGAGTCACCAGGCCCCCTACCCACCAGCGAGCAGCCGCGAACAAGCGATCCGGATGTAGTTTTGTAGCAGAGGGGTGGCGGAGTGAGGGTTGGTGCAGGAAAAGTCCCGGAAAAACTCCCGACATCTGAAAGTCAAGGGAAGCGTGCGCGCAGCGGTTTGTTTTCGGTTCTACGAATTCCAGAAACACATCCGGCGGCAGCTACTGTCAAAATTAGTACCATACCTGCAAACAAAGCAAAATAGGACAGGAAATCATATGATAGAAAACCTTGTTCAAATTGGTAAGGGCAGCAGCCCATATTGCAGCTCCAGCATTCTCGGCGAAAAGGCCCCCCAAAAGCCCCAGATGTCGATGGGAACCAGGCCATGGTGGCACCTACACCCCAGGCTCAGACCTTTCACTAATTGAAGGAGTTGCGACCGAAATTTGTGAAGAACTTTCTTCCATGGACTCGAGAGAGATTCCCGTAGCACCATTAATATAGGTCCTTCCAATTAAGCCACCGACCGACAGATGAACAAACAAGCAGTCAGACATTCAATTCAGGAGCCACACCGAATCCAATAACAAGTCCAGTCATGGCGTTTGGGTGGAAAAGTGCGTTAAGTTAGGGGTGGGGATACAGTCGTTCAATGTTGGAAAAGGTGATGGGCCTGAGAGATTACATAATCATTACATAACCCACTCCCAACGCCTTTGCACCGGTGGACAAACAGAATCCCGGGTTAGGAGTAGTAAGAGAAGATATTCCGGAGCGAGCAGAAATTGCAGTAGGCAGCCTTAACCACATGAATTTCATGGCCTCTACTGGTAATGAGGGGTTGAGAGGAAGTTCCAGTGAACTACTCTACTCCATAACAAAATCACGACGAATCACTCACGACAGACGGTCAGAGAGGTTGTCCAGCGGCGGAAAAATCGCACCCCACACCCCAGATGCCAGTGGATCTGTGATTTTAGAGCGCTTCAATCCTCAGAACAAACCCACATTCTGGAGTGTTTCACCCTACAGCCCCCTCCCAAGCCAGCTATGACACTGAAGAGGTAATGCAATTTTGGATAATAATAGCCAATGCCTGTTGTAGAGCAGCTACCACGTAGGAGCGGCCAACCCGGAGGCTGATACGAGCAGAGGCGATGCCCTTTCCCTAGGCGTCTACTTGTAGCACTCCGAATGTGTGGGAAGCGCAATATAAGGGGGAATAGATATGTTTTAAGAGACAAAACGTTATTTCGTCACCTACAACAATACCTACCCCCCATCAGTTCATTACAATTATCCGATTTTTCTAGTAGACCATTAATAAAGCTATTAAATCTGCTCTGGCGGAGATAAGTGATATAGGATAAGCTTCTTATTCAACGCGCGCGGTACAGTACAACTTAAATCCCATAACCAATCCTAGAACATAGCCCCAATATGGCTGTGCTGATGTCTGATACGGTACTACAAGGCACTATCAGTGATCATCAACTATCATGAACCTTTGTTTGGTCACGATCGGCTTGAAGAGGTCAGGTCACAGTGGGCGAAACATACAAAATTGATGTTTTTCAATCCATCCTTATTCGACCGCCTGCAACAAAGGTACTACAGGAGAAAAATCAGTAAAAAGTTTTGTACACAGGGACTCAAGACAAAACGCCTGGAGGGTTTTTTTTTTTTTGCAATGCATCATACCGCTCACGCATTACCTCCTGCAACGAACTCGCTGACTTTGCCGGCACCAGAAAGACGCTCCTGGCGTGCCGAAGTCCTGGGCCGTCGGTACTAAGGAAGACACCGGAGGGAAGGAGGAATTGACAAAGTAGGTCAACGGGTCTGCGGAAGAGCTTGGGGGAATTGATATGATGTCCCGACCCTAAGCTCCTAACAAGTTGTTGAGAGCGAGGACGACAGTGAACAAACAACTAAGCATGATAATATGATACCGTAGCTCTGCCAGTTGCTTTCCATATGACTAGATGTCACACACAAAGCCCCTTGCCTTGGAATCGCGGTTCCCTAGTCGCCCAATGCTTCCGTCCTTGTGAGGTCTTCTGTCGCCGGGCGCCATGTAATCGCATCGTTGGAATACCGAACATCACGCTTGAGCGGGCACAGGTCCTGATACCAGAGGGAATCTGAGTTAACAATTGCCCCACACTTGGTTTGATCTCGGCAAAGGACGGACGGGCCGTGAGATGTTTGATCCAAGGAAAGGTCGGAGATGAGACGAACGATGGCAACCGGAGTTCCGACCGGGAGGCTTGGGGCCGCAAGAGAAGTGGTGGATGTGGGTGTATTTTTGCCCGGTAAACCGAGCGCATGTGTTTCCGGAGCGGCAGTCCAGATCACCGATACATTTCACAAGAGAAACCAAGCGCAGGGATTGCTTAGATATCATACCGGTGTCCGCATAGGCTGGATTAAGTTTTTAGCAACAATTTTTTCCAAATAAGCCTTCAGTTTTCCGTTAGACTTACTCCAAAGGTTTGATATTGGGTGGTTTTGTCCAAGAGGAAGCTTCCGGACACATTCGTCAATCTACAGTATCGAACCAACCGAACATCAAGGAAAATAACTTCACATCACTAGAAAAAAGAAAACCAAAGTTTGATAATGCATATCAATTACAATCCCAAGTAGTAGTACAAAGAATAAAAACGATAAACAAGACAACGCCAGAACCTGTCAGACTTCCATCAACACCCACCCTCATCACCTACTCCGAAGAGCAAAAAGCGATTCGGGTCGAGATCATCACCACCACCGCCGAGGCAGAGGCAAAAAAGGCTTCACTCTTGGGCATCGAGGAGATAATTGTCATCCCCCAGGTTGGAGAATCTGTTGCTCTGGTTGGAGTTTCAGATGGGACGATTTACTATAGAAATGATCCTATGAAGTAAAATCGCATGGAGAGAGAAGAGGGGGGTGGGGGGAGGAGCCTTTTTATATTGAATTTTCCAAGTGCCAAGGCGGCGAATTTTGGCGGCGAAAATTTTTCCACCAATCATCCCCTAGGGCTGAACACCAACCTGACCACGGCCGTCAACGATTAAGTTAAGGACACCAGCACAATGCATGCCAACACCGGTAAATTTATCGCTGGTAAGAATGTATGCCGCGCCCCGCATCATCTCGCCTTACACGTCTGACCTCCGCCCGCAAATTCCTACGCGGCGAATACATATAACTTAAAGACGGACTGGTTGCCTCTTTGGATCACCCTTCTTTCACCCCGTCTCTCTGGAGTCTCGTTTGTCCCTGCGAACTTTCTCCGCTGCTTTGCAAGGTCATTCTGCTTTCACTGTAAATTATCTAACATTATATTCTATGCAAGAAGCCCCCTCTTTAGTCAGCCGCTTCTCCCGCTCGACCCGCCTCCCCTGTGCCCTTTCCTTACAGCACAAATACTTGAAATACATTCTATACCATCATCTTTTATCCCAAACCCCCATATGATACCACCATGGACGGCGAACGTTCCCATTCCCGAAAACCCGAGCGAGCATTGAAGCAACTCTCCTGAGCCGCCCAAAGAACCGCGTCCGCACGCCCGATATAGAGGAACTTCGCACCGTTGGCCCGACTACGGTGCCTCTGGTTGAAATTATATCAGCAGGTGTAGTTGTCCCGAGGCTATCAAGATCAGTGGAGGAAACTTTAGACTCAGTGGTACCTCCAGGAACATTTCGAGTTCTTTGCGTGAGTGTACATCGTGCGATCCAGTCATCGACACCTCGGAGCACCAAGGCTCCGGAAAGCACACGATAACATCAAGATTGTAGCGAAGAACTGTGCGGCAGGTCACTCCGCCCCCACCATTAGTGGATGTTACGGGCGGGCGGTTCGGATAATATTGATTCCTGTGCCGCACCGACTCTGTCCAGCCCCATAGGGCAATACAGATATCGCCGATCGAGCAACCTGGTGAGCATCTCCCGGCCCAGCTCGCCCAGGACAAGAGAGGATTGAAAATACCTTGACTTTGCTAGCCACCGCCCTGGGAAATGCTATCCTCACGTTGTAATACGGGTGACGGGCAGGACCGGGCTAGTTCGTCGGGGTTGTTTTCGAGAGGGTCGTATTTCACACTCACGATGCGGCACCACCGGGGAAATGGTATGGATGGGTAAGTCTGCACTGCTGGTTTGGGCAACATTGGTGGTCAATATGACTTGTTTGAGTACTGTAAGGCATTAAAAGCACCGCTATAAGGAACAGCAAGGTTCTGTTCCGCACTTTGCAAACCCCCCCCCGAATGACGACGCCTTCGAGTGTCGAAGGAATTCCCTTCCTTCGTTTGAATGAAAGTTGAGAATAGTGCGGGGGGTGCGTAATGGTAACGTAGGCATGACCTTGTCGAACACTGCTGAGACTGGAGTCGGAGCCGGCTCGCAGAGCAGTCGTTGAAATCCACTCGACTATTGATATCTGATACCATATCAATCATCCCAAGCTCACTCCGTTAATGCAAAAACAGGCGGAAAAAGGCTGCAAGGATATTGAATCAAGCATATGATAATGTACACGCAAACTGGAAGAAAAAAGAAAAAAGAAAAAAAGAAAAAGAAAAAGAAAAAGAGCAAACCCCAGCAAAACAGAATAATGGTACTTGTAGATTAAACCCCCCCAACCATACCAACAGGTACGCCCAACAAAGCACTGCAAAGCCCAGCCCTGCTACTTAAAATGCACTTTCTTGTGTCCCTTGTCATCCCCGCTATCATCCCCGCTCTTTCGGCCATTATCCTTATCACCCTCCTCCTCCTCCCTATCCTCCTTTTCGACCCTATCCTTGCCCTTCTCCTTTGCCGGCTTCACTCCACCCGTAGCACGAACGACATTGCTGACACGCCGGAACATCTTCCGGGCCCCTCCGGACTTTTTCTTCTCGGCATCTTCATCCTTCGATTCTACGCCCGCTGGCAGACTGGAGAGGATTCGGTCAAAGGTTTCTGTCGGGATAGCTTTGTGGGACATTTCGACCTGTTTGGTTGTACAATCGTGTTTGTTTGCGGTGATAAGGGAGCGGGGCTAGCGGGTGGGTGGGTGGCAGATGGTAGAAAGGTAGGCTGGTGAGTGAGCAGAGTGCCGATGGAGTAAACGGTGAAGGGGATGAGATGAGGTTGAGTTCAGCGAGCGATGCGGTGGTGCGGTAATAAGCGCGTGATATGAAGTGAAGTAAAGGAGGTGGAGGTTGTAGTCCGATGCGAAAGGATGAGGGTCGTTGCTAGCTTGTTTGTCTTTTTGGTGAATTATTTCTCGGCAAGAGAGCACACGACTTAAGTACAGTTCAGTCCCGTGGCATCCGCAAAATGGGGGCTGTGCTTAAAAAAGAT